GGGGGGGGGGTGTTCCACACGCCTGCGGCCGTGTTGATTAGCTACACTACACATCAAGACAACAAGGATTCTACGCACAGTTTTACGGCCTGCACGTCTTGGGATGCCTAGACCTGTGATATCTCCTTTCCTGGCAGGGAAGATGAACCCACGTACCCTGCCAGGTCACCTGCAAGGGAGACCCGAGTTACCCGTCCGTCCAGTCCGAGCACGAATATACCACACCTCACCCACGCGAGACTGCAGCCCGCGCGTGTCTACTCATAACTGGTCTAGCGCCCGATCGGGGCGGCAGATTGGGCTCCGGTGATCTGGATGGCCAGCTCTCCAGTTCTGAGCATCTGACTGAACCAATTTGCCCTGGAAGACGGGTGCCGAGTGGTCTCTCAAAATGGCCCGAGGTACGTAGAAACCGTCATCTCTTTCGTTGAACAGAAGTAGGAGGAGTTCGGCTCTGTTACTGTGAGATGGACGGATGATGGATGAACGGAGTTGGAATCGGTGGTATTTCGTCGCCGCCCTCTCGCCGGTCGCCTTGCGAAGCGTGTGCGCATCGACGATTCGCAAGATGTTGGTTCGCCTTGCTTCCCTGGATGGGCGGTTTGCTTGCAGACTACAGTTCTTTTTGGCTGGACTCGGGATAACCCTTCCCGCGGCGGGAGGGGAGAAGGAGACGCGCCATTGGTAAAGGAACCAGCTGAAAATGGCAGCGCTGCCATGGTGGTCCCTAGTTGGCGGGATGAGAAACTAGACGAAGTGGTTGTAAACACCCTCCCGGGCACCTCCCTCTCGGCTGCCGTGTTTTACCAGGGGGGCAAAGAGAGAGCTGGAATGAGAGCTATGGTAAACATGGTGAGGGGAATCTTGAGAGACTGGAGATGTCGAGCAACCACGACGGAAGGTCCAGCCCTCAACGGCGACGCCCATCAAACACGACGCAAACATAAACATAGTTTGCTGTCCGTCATCATCTGTGCAACACACAAGTGGTAGTCGTATCTCCGCAGAGAAGCAAGGCAAGTCTCTACACAGACGCACAGAAGGACCTGATACGCAGAGAGAGGCTTGTGGTCTCCAGCACTGATCTGAAGCTGGCCCCTCTCCTCACTCTGGGAGCTGCTGACGCTTCGTAGAGAAGCAGCGCTGACCTAAAGGAGGTCAGAGGTGGTCAGAGAGGTTGAGAGGGAATCCAGTCCCGTCCAATCGAGGGTCTCGCAGTTCGCCGACGAGTCGATGCAGAGACAATGTGGAGGCGACATTCGGTACTTTACCGTCGTCGTGGGGTCCCTTTGCCAGTGTCTTGCAGCACGAAATAGCACAGGACATTCCGCCAAAGACTGCGCTAGGCTTAGAGGGACGGTCACGTCAGGACCGATGGCCCATCCCCAAGCAACGCGATATCAAACGGCCTCGCTACGTAGCAAATGCGAAAGAGGATGACAGCCACCATGCCAGGCCGGGCTGATGGATGAGTTGACTTTTGGAACCATAAGCTGCGCGTAAAGGAGCAGCTAAATAAGACGATTCAGTGGTGTGATGCAGAATGAAGTGGAGAGAGGGGCCTTTCCGGCTCGCACTAAGGTACCTATGGCACAGTAACTAAGTAAGGGAATGAAAAGGCGGACAAGATGCATGATTTCACCCAGTGCATCTTGGCTTGCTTGGCTTGGCTGGGGCTTCCGAAAGCTAACACGATGCCTGGGAGGTAATTAATTGTGTATCCGTATCCGCAAGTACCTTCGGTATGACAAAGTGTTTTGTAGGAGTTGGTGTGGATTGTGGTATACTGCTGTACGGATGCATTCCTGGCCTTCCATGATGCTTCCCCTGAATTTCCGCTTTGAGGAACTTTGCGGAACTTTGCAGTCATCTCTCGCTCACATCAGAGCACCCAAAGCATCCCAAGGCACGTACGGATACTCTCACCTGACTAGCAGTGACAGACTACTGTATACCTAAGGTACCTGAGGTGACGGATACAGCATCCAATCTGCACCTGCTTGCACAACAGACAGCCGGAATTCGCCTCCCTGCCTTAGGTGCCTGTGGTAGGCACTATGGCACTGAACAGCAGCCACCGCACCTGCTCCTGCCTATAATTTCCTTCAGGTCCTTAAGGTTCCTCCCCCCCCTCCACCCATCTCTCCCCCCTGGTTGTGTTCCTTCTGGGCAAGTCATTTCGACATCGTCACTTCCTCCTGAGAAGTGACCGCAAACCGAGGGGTTAAAAAAAAAAGATACGTACTTGGTACATTTCTCCGCTGCGATTCTTGCACCAAACAATACGTACTTGTCTCGGTACCCATCTCCTCCACCTCTACCTTACCCACTCCAATATTACAATTCCCTCTTGAACTTCTTCTCCTGCTTCCGTCTTTTTCTCTTTCTCGCACATTTTCATCTCCGTTCCTCTCTCAGCGCCCAACCTCGCAACTTTCTTTCGCCCGTCTTTCCCGCCTTCTTCTCTTCTCCGTCGGCAGGCCGTTGCGCCCTGTTTCTGCCCTAGAGGCAACACCATCTTTTTCCTCTCTTCTCCTCTTCCAACGTCGACCCTCGCACCCGGTAGTGTGTACGTACCCCGACACTACCTACGTATCTTGCCTTGGGCCGTCTACCAAATCAGACGACGACCATTGCACCACCTGCAAGTCCAGGTTCCCGCTGTGTCTGCGACCGCGTTTTCTCAAAGACAGGGAACCCCTCTCCTCTGCCTCTGGCTTTCTCTTCCTCTCGACTCCTCTTTCGCCCACCCTCAAGGACGGCACTCGCACGCCCGCACCCACACTAAACATCCACTGCTCGACCGCACTCGCCTTCTGCCGCCTGCCCCCCTCCACAGCGCATCTGACACTCACTGGAGAGAGAAAGCCAAAATTAGGAGCCCTGATATCATCCCTCCCGGCTCCGGCCCTCCATCTGCTCCACCTCGCAAATCGGCTCCAATACACCTTTGCCTTTGCAAAGTTCCCCAAGGGCTTCGCACTCCGGAACAAACGAACGTTGTACGGATACCCTTACGTACCGTCTCTTCCCACCTGCTTCACTCTTCGGGTACCCCTAGCTCGCCTCCCCGAGCTACCTTCGTCCCTTGCCTGGGCTACCCTGGTGTTGCACCCGCCTTTTCCATCAACTTACATCTATACATCTGGACCCTGGCGGCCATCTCCTACTCTTTCACATCCTTCAAACCTCTCTTCTGCGTCTTGGACCCGCATATCTCGTCTGCCTTTTCAGTCTCTTTCTCACTCGCCTCAGTACGTCCACAATCTACGATTTCCACGACAAGACAAACGACCTTCCGCTGCAACGGTTCACGAGTCGTTCACACTCTTGCATCAACTTCCCACCGTACTTTTTTGCCTTTCGAAACTCGTCAGACATTGCGCGGTGAACGATTGCCGACCTGTTCAGTTCAACTCAGCCAGCTTGACCAGCCATCGATTCCGCCCTCTTCTGCGACGAACGACTTGAAGAGGATTCAGTCACTGCTTCTTCCTCATAGGATACGCACCCTAGGTTAACGAAGAACCAATCCCGCCATCTCACGATCTCATTGGACGTTGAACGCTGCTTTTCCAGCACCTGGTAAGCCTCTCGCCTTTCTCTTTGCTCTCATCACCTCAGCTCAGCCCATGCCACGCCCACGGACACACAAAGCCAACTGGGTTCTGGGGCCACTGACCGCTCACGAGTCAAGCCCCTCAAGCCTTGCCAAAACTTTCTTCTGTTCTGCACCCCCGCCAAATACAGCATAGCTTGCTGAGCCTCATTAGACTTATCAGAAGGTGTTTCTGGGCTGACGCTAGATGATGTACTTGTAGGACACCCATCCCGCACACGCCCTGCCCTTCAGCATCGACGTCCCCTATTTTTCTCTCTGTCCTTTGTTCTGTTGTCTGCCTCACCCAACGAATCTGCCGCAATCGTTCAAACTTGTGGTCGTGTCGACCAGACTTGTCAGTCACCGTAGCGATCGATCCCACGTTAAACACACTTCGAGACCTGTGTGACGCACCCTGCGGTACTAAACCACTTGGAACGGAATCCCCAGGTCCCGAGCTGCACTGCACCGCTACCAGCGTCGCATCCACCCCTCCCTGACCAGCCAAAGTACAAGTGGGAGAGCTTGCCCGATTCATACCTCTCGCACAGAACGATTCAACCTTGACCGAGTCGGTTGATTTAAACCACAGCGTCTGTACTCCCTGCGATACTACTACGTGCATCTCCATCTGGGCATTCAGGCAAAAACGATTGTCCTGCCACATCGGACATTCGGACTGGAAACCTCACCGCGGTCGCGCCCATGCCTTCCTCAAGACCTTGTCACTGAATTCCAGACTATCATCATGTTTCTCCATTCTGGCGCGAGCCTGCATGGGCACGAATATTCCAATAAGACCGCCACCGGCGGCCCTCAGCCTGCGCGGAGCCGAATGCTCCTACGCTCCTCGTTAGGCGCATCACCACTTCAGCGATCATCCTTTTCCACCGACGAGACCGAGACACCGACTCAGCGTATCAACCGCCGCCTCTCGTTACAAGAGCCAGGAGCCGCTACCCGTCCTGTACGCCGGACCCGACCGGTGTCCGACTTTGTGTCAAGGAGAGACCTTGTCGTGCGGTTCGAGGAAGAACCTACCGTTGTGGGCGATGAGACACACGGTCTCGATGGTGTCAGCGAAGACGAAGGCAGTCTGGTATCGGAGATCAGCGATACCAGCACTGTAAAAAGATCGAAGAGGTCAAGACGAGCTGCGAGGCAATGCACTAGTTATCTGCTGGCCTACCCTCCCCCTAAACTTCGCACGAAACAAAGACGCTTCGTTTCCATCAGGCCGCGACTCCTGCTTCAGCTGCAGCAACTATCCAATGAGAAGCGGCCCATGCCGGCCATTGACGTCGTCCCCTCGAGCATGATCGCCGGGACTGTCATCCTCCCCCGTCTCGCGCGACGCTTTCCCAAGATGTTCAGGGTCAAGGGACAGTTGGGCATGAACGGCCTCATCTTAGCCAGGAGCGAGGACTACGATAATGATGCCGACGACTCGGACTCAAACGATAAGGATCTTGACAAGCGTGACTTGGTGGCCGTCATTTCGCCAGTTTCGTCGCGCAAAGAGGGCGAGAGAAGGGATTCAAGTGAGGAGACGGAAATCGTACTAGCGGACGGTTCAGTATGGACGGCCACACAAACCAGCAATGGGTCGTACGACTTTGTTCACATGGACGAGGCCGGCCAAACGAGAATTGCGAGATGGGCGAGACGAAGTACCCGGCCGCTTTCCACTGCGACTTGCACCACAGTATCGAATCCCGCTCCATCGGAGTACAAGTTCACCTTTAGCATTCTCGATCCCCAGCTTCGACGACACCCCGTCATGGCAACTTTGACGCCAGCCAACCTCGAGATCCTGGACAACTACACAACCGTATCGCAATCGTCAGGACGCTATCCCATGCGACCCTTCAGCACGGATCTCTCTGGCGACAAGGGAGTTTCGTCCCCTCCCGCAACAACCTCTCTCCCTGTCGCGCAACGAGAGATCCACCCTGTCGATGAGGCAACACGAACCCTAATTACTGTAACATCCGTCTGGGTCTCACTCCGCCATGGCCAAGGCTGGGCATCTTCGGCAGCCTCTCCGGTTCCGGGGACCTACCGACCGGTACAGTCTCGAACCGTGAGCGGTAGTAGTAGCCAGAGTCGCGCATCAACCTTTCCGGTGTCAACAACGGAAATGAGTCGAATCTCCTCTCCGCCTCTGGTGCAACAGCAGTTTGTCACTCAGCCCGCGCCAAACACGCCCAAAAGGACAGTTTCATCTGGTGCCGCTTTCATGCAGCGCCGTCAAACGAAGCTCGGGGGCGAATCGTTAACTGCCGACAATGCGGCCGAGAATGAAGACTTGAGCGGGCTCGAAAACGTACCCGAGCCTGTGCCTTTGAAGCGGAGTTTCTCCAAACGAATCCGCGATTGGGGCCATCGCTTCACCTCGCGGAAGACAGCAACTGTTTAGCAACTGCATATAAAGATAGGAAGAAAAACATGGAACACAGGAACATATCAGGAATAGGCGCATAGACGCAAATAGGACACAGTGCTGGTTGACATTCAGCAAACCTTTTGTAACTGTATTATTATTATTAAGCATAGGTATACCCGGAGATTGGAATCTGACAACGTTCATCGTCCACTCGCCACGATGTGCACACGTTTGCATGTGCGAAAACAGTGAATCAGTTTACTCCGAGCACCCTCGACCGATGTTGAGTAGCTCAGATCTTGATGTGCGAGATGGGCGATCGCTGTGTTTCTCTCCTTCAGTCAATTTGATGCTGGCATTGACCAGAACGACCAGTTAGTAAAACGGGTGTGAGGCTGAGTGGGGCATCGCCGGAGTTGGAAATTGAAATACAGCAAAAGGTCGCCGGATGCCGCGATCCGGAAGCTGTGGGGCCAGCCCCGGGAGCCAGAGCAGTGAAGCTGGGAACGTGAAGTGATCCTTGCGGGCGATCCCGCTGCTCGATGTGCAGCGTCGCTCATGATCGGCGAGGAGGGCCCACCCCGAAGATGGTCCGTGTGGGGCCTATTGAAAGTTCGCTTTCTTAAGGGTTGCGGACACACCCCGCTCTGGTACGTTGGATCGAACCAATGTTTCTTCAGCGTCATTCATTTTTTGAGGGCAATAACTCTGGTCGTAGTAGCAAACTGACCCAAACGAAGAACGATCGCCCACTCACACTTGGCTTTCATCCGGGCGGCTTTGATTATTATGTCGACATAAGAAAGTGTCTAGCTGCTAGGCTTTGGGCAGATAGGGCTTCAGCAAGTCATAACGACGAGTGCTGTGTTTAGGACTTTGTCAGATATATGACTCTGGGATCAATTTGATGGAACCAAGTCACGTTGTGGGTGAATCAAAACCGGAGATCCGCCTATATTCAATTGTGGAATGATTCACAGGGGCGGCATGCAGACTCAGCTCCTCAACATATCGAATCTGGCATAAAGCCAAAGAGAAACCATTATTTCTTTTCACATCAACCTTATTGTTTTTGTTCGTACGGGCTCACATAGGTTTCAACAAGAATCCCCACAACAATTAAAGTTGGGCGACACAATTTCCACGGCGTTGAATCATAGATCAAAACCAATCATGGGCGAGTGGAAGCTCGGATGCATCACGCTGATTCTTCCAGGGCGAAAAGATCGATATCAACGAACCCCCGAAGTTGACAGATTTCCGGGCAGACCGGCTCTGATCCCAATCCGTAATGAACGGCTCGGGCAAGGAATACCAGGCCAGTTTGTCATGTACTTACCCCCAGGTGAGATGCCACCTACAACGTTGACTCCTGCATCATTTGGGGAGGCATGGGCGTCGTTTGGGCCCACAGGGCCGCCGCTTGGGCACGTTATCGAGTTATACGCAAGGTCACCCTCGAAAATCCAGGGCATACCTCTGGAGACATCCTTTGCCGATCCAAGAATGGCACTGACCTTTGGATACTCCAGGAGACGGCAATACGGGGTATAGTTGGTAAAAACTTTCGATAAGTAGATTCACTCAAAGGCGTCGCATTCGATGTCTAACACGGAATGAGCGGCGCCCTATATGTGGGAAAGGCGACCATAAACACTCAATAATGACATATTCAAAGCTCCTCAAGATTCCAGTGTGCTACTACTAGTGCATCAGAATCTGTTGGAACGATTACCCTTGACTCTGGTAGGATATCTAATTCTTCCCAAAGTAGTTTAACAAAGTGTTTGCCTGCGCTGGCCGCTGTGCCTTCTTTGGTGACTCTCTTTCCACCTTTTTGCCAACTTCAAGCACGGCTATCAACTCGTCAAACTCGGCTTTGGACACAATACCGCCGCTTGCCTCCTTGTGACCCCTCGCGAATGAGCTTCCTAGTCGCTCTCTCAAAGTCGAGTCCTTGGCACGAGCAGCCACCCCCTCCAAGACCTCAATAATGTTCACCGGTGGCTCCTTGGCTCTCGCGCAGCGGGGAATGCGACACGAGAAGTTCACCATCCCAGGCAAATATCCTTCATTGGCAACCAAAACAACCTCGAGTTTTGACGATGATAGATGGCCAGCCCATCGGGTGGCGATGACAGGGTGGACTTGGGCCTCTGAGCTGATGTGGAAGACGGCAATGCGGCCGTCGGCGGAGAATTTGGGGGGCGTGTGGGTGCAGCGTTCAACCTCTGCGTTGACCTCTGCTCTAGCAGCGAGCAGGTACTTGTTATTAAGCAGCTCCTTTGGTGAGTTTGACGCACAGAGGGCTTTCCAAGCGGAAGGGACATTATAAGATGCTGTTCGTCTCGGGGCGTTGATGAGTGATACGGCATCGTTGAGAGCCTTTTTCGTGTATGTTTTGAACGTGGACTTCATGTCGGGAAACGGAGGCTCCCATTTCAAGTTATTACCCAGATCCCCGTGGGTTCCCATGACACATAGCCAGTCACAAGCTCCTTGCACGCCCTCGTGGAGATCTCGGCAGATAAGATACGTGAGTAAAGAACTTGTTGCCACGGGAGGGGAGTCACATGCTGTGATGTGTAATGCGTCTTGAGGATGGTCGTTTTCCAGTGCGTGATGATGATCGATGACGATGCCACGGTGGGGACCGTCGATGAGAGGTGGTGAAGAGCGAGAGCCTTGGTCTAGGACGAAGATGTAGGTCGGCTTATGAGAAGCCATATCTGAGCGACATGTTTCAACGTGGATATTTTGTCCCTTTGGAGGCAAGTATGCGGTGATGAGGGACGGATCCAGGCCGAGAAGAACGAGAGTACGTTCCAAGATGGCGCCAGAGGCGAGGCCATCAGCGTCTTTATCCGGGACAATCAATGAGGGTTTTCCGGCAGAGACACTGATCAGCGTTAGCATTCGAGAAATTGACTCGTTACGACTTCTATAGGCATAAAATTTCAGCTCATGACATCCGCCAATCGTACCATTCGCGAATAAAGGCCCTCGCAGCCTCCAGCTTGACTTCTGGGGCGGGCCACACAATTTCGCCATCATCACCTCTTACTGAAGGTGTCAAGTGATACTCAGGAACTGCTGGCCTTGGTTTCTTGACGCCTTTACTTCCATGAGACAGGTTTGCAGTCGTGGCAGTGCGTTTCATGGTGAATGAGATGCGCGGCGGGATGTGATTATTGACTGGCCTTATGCAAGCATTACAGGTATGAATTATGGCTTCCAAAGATGACCTACATCTAGCCAGGTGCATGGTCGTGGCAAAGCAGTGGATTTCAGTGCGATGGGTGGATCGCAGAAGGAGGCTGTCGTCGTTGATGAGTGGTCACAGTGCACACACCTGTCCATGTCGTCATAGAAGAGCTGTCGTCGCTGGAACGACGTTTGGTCTCGACACAGTGTGATTTTACTGCTAAAGGCTAGAACTCACACCGTAATCCAACGCTCAACATTGCCGAACTTTGCAGTGAAACTTCATGAGAAGAGATCAACATATTGCACAGTACCTTACGTGAGGTATTGATCCCACAAGTTGATTTCAAATTGAGGGAAGGAGTTATAGGCAGTAAATGTGAATGGACAGCTCTACAAGTTCCCACGCACCTTGGATCTACAAATATCGCCCAAGCCGAATCGACTTAGAAACAAGTCTCGTAGTGTTGACTGCATGAGACCGCGTACTCGGGAAATTACATCGATTCTTTGAAGAGGACAAGGTTGTAAGAACACCTCGCTCCTAATTACCTGTCCAGCCTTTCAAGACAATCTAGTCGGCGATAGCGCCCGGAACCGCTCTTGGCTATTGAGAAAAGACAAAGAGGAGATCAAATATATGGAAGTAGAGTAGATGTTATTTCTAAAGGAAGCATAGTGAGCCATGACAGTTCGTGTCTATTTGGTGGCATATGTAATCGCACAGGAACGTATTAACCATTAGGACTGGCGGAAGAGCCCGAGTATCGCAAGGTGGAAATCTGACAAATATTATTACTGCGCAGCAAGCTGAGTAATATCTATTGTGGTATCTTGGACTTCGAAGTAAAACGTATCCAACACCAGCGTAGAATCTTCTGGAGAATCGCAGAACGGTACATGTACGAAGTTCTTAAGTGTGGTAAACCGCAACATACTCCACCTCGTAAGTCCCACCCGACAAGGTGGTGCTGAGAGGTGTTTTCTTGCCATAGACTGCGTCAGGGAAAGCTCCACCAATGGCCATGTTTAACAAGATGAATTGCGGCTTCTGAACAGTCCCCTTCCAGGTAGCCGCCGGCAGTTGCGACTGGAGAACCTGGTGAAACTGGACGCCGTCGACATACCAGCGGATCGCTTCCACGGACTTTGACCTATCGACTTCCACCATAAACGTGTGGAAGTTCCCAGCGCAGGAATTCCCAGGGCAAGAACGGAACGCACTGAGGCCAGATGGCTCATTACAGGCTCCCCCAGGCTGAGTACCGCAGTGCAAGACGGCATAAGCGCGGTCGAGATTGTTGACATTCTCCATGATATCAATTTCACCAACTGCCGGCCAGTTCCTAGACAAGATTGGTTAGATTGGAGGTCTAGAATTGGCTGGTGTTGAAAACGCCTACCAGTAGTTGCCGCGATATGCAGCGCCCAGCGTCCAGAACGCGGGCCAGTAGCCAACGCCGGCGTTGCCTCCTAGGTTGGGGATCTTCAGACTAGCCTGGATCCGCATGGTTCCCCCCGGCTGCGCCATAAAATTGGCTCTTCGAGTCTCAATTCGCCCTGAAGTCCATGCGCCTGTTGTGCTCTTGATGGCGGTGATTTGAAGATTCCCAGCGCCGTTGACTCGGACATTATTGGGGCTATTGGTATATGACTGGATTTCCCCTGTGCCCCAACTTGCTGGACCGCCAGGATAACTGGTACCTGTGTCGATGATCCAATTATTCTGGTCTGGGACCGTTTTGGCCTTGCCGCTGAAATCGTCGTACCACACCAAATTGAAGCCGCTGACTTTTGGTATTTGTGCTTGGGTTGTTGATAACAAAGCCACAAAAACAGATATGGTTCCAATGGGCCTCATCATGATTCTGCAACTAGCCGGATCTTGAGTGAAGTGCCGATGAATTCGCTGATCAAGTTTTTGGATTGAAATTGAAGGCTCAAGATAAGGGAAAGAGCAATAACCCAGGGGAAAAGAAAAACACCAAAGGCGGTGATGCAGTGACTGAAGGAGCGTCGTGGATAGGTTTCTGGTGAAGGTTACAACCTGCTTCGAGGGGAAGACAGGCGCGAGTGTAATATAGTCGATGGCGGTAGGGTCACGACCAGCTCACGAGATGGTCTAGATGTAGCTTCATCGGCTTCCCCTTAGAAGCCGCACCGCCTCGCTGCGTTCCCTTGGGAAATTTGTTGACAGGAGGGCCCAGAAGCGAAGCCAGACGAGTCCAGCCTTCGTTCCCATGCCCGTAGTTCCAAGCTAGCCGGACTTCTCGGCCCCCCAAGAACATTTCGGGGGTGGAATTGCGTGGTATGTGAAAGAAATGAGACTATATCAGCTAGACGCAAAGCGGAAGCACTGAGACATTTGGTAGAAATCGGATAAGACGCTGTTACCAATGCGGCTATCAGCTGAGGAAAAGTTGCCTTGGAAGGCCAATTACTCCGTGCTCCCTGGAAGTGTAATGCCCGTGCTCTGTGAGAGGCAAGAATCCCATGTTTAGCCACTTCTACTCCATGTTGAATCTGTACTATTTCACAGAATAGGGTGGCAAGCCCCTCTCCGTGGCAAGGTGTGGTTCGCCACCAGCGTCTGGAGCACGAAGCATGCACAGAATGATGTTTGAGCCCAGGGTACAGCTTAAATGCAGATTGAAAATGAATAAAGACCCCTCAAATCAGCCATAGGCTTGAAGTCCATTATCTGCTTTGACGCAATCGGAGATGCGAAATCTCCTCGACTCCTCGCTTCTTCGTTGCTTGAACCACGAGCTTGTGTAGGGGCGACTGGCTTGTGAAAGTAATGACAAGTGATTGATGAATACTTCATATTGCAGCTTGGGAGTTTCAACCAACAGTTCTTCGTATATTTGGGTCATATTCTAGCGAGATTCTGTTGAACACTCAAGAGCTTGTAAAGCGTGGGGTTGACACGAACAGCACTACTGCTGAAGCAAGTTCCCCCAAGAGCGAAAGTGATTGGCAAACTCCTTGCTGTGGGCTCTGACTCGATAACTTTTACAAAAACAGATAGTAAGGGGAAAATGACTTTGGTCTCCAGATCTTTATTTCGGATGAGATTCTTCGATGGTGTTTTAGTCCTTGTTGGCGAAATATTTCCACGGGAACTGCCAACACCAATCAAAGGGTTCACCACCAGAAGCAGTACTCCACTCGGCCGAGGACTATCATTGGTGTTGACCGACCTAGACTAATGAACACTCGTCCGGAAGAGGGAAGGCGTTGTAAGCCCATTTCAGATGCTCAGCCCCTAGGACAACGGGAGGGAAGGGAAGCTGAACAATACCTGACACATCCCGGATAGCGGCTAACGCGGAAATTCTACCGACATTTGATCGAGGTGCTCAACAACATCAACTAAGTTTTTGATCTTCATAAATTGCCTCAATTGAAGGCCGCGATTCTCATCTCATCGCTTTGCATTGTCCAAAGAACCAACCGCGTCAGCTGCTCCATCTTACCCTGCTCCGCAATGCCGGTCTCGCAGACCGAACCACGAGTTCACGTCTTAGCGCCCATGCTTCATTCCTCGGAAGCACAGTGCCGGGATGATGACTGGACCGGTCTTCGGGATCAAGCAGAAAGACGAAAGAGACAGAATCGCCTCAACGTGAGAGCCTACAGTACGGGGAGCCCACATCAGGCTCAGTATTGCCGAGACAAAGCTTACGCGGCTCACAGGAAAGCGAAAGGCCCTAGAATCGCATCAAAATGAGCAGACGAAAACATCAATAGCCGATGGGTCTCCTCACAAAGAATCGTGGCCCGGCCTGTGCTCAGAAAGAAGTCTAGAATTCATACATTGGGTCCCGCCGACGCAGTCTCCAGCTGAAGTGAGTCTGTTCGGAGGACCACACAACTGTTCGGAGACTACATCCAACAGAGATGGGCAGCGAATAGATCTGCCTGTCACTTCAAAGAGGGATGTGATGTGTGTACAGACACGGCTACCTCCACGTCACCCTAACAGTGGCAAGTCGCGATTAGCAAAACACGTTCCGCCGTATTTCCAGAATCCCACTACATGGTTCCCTCTGTACAAGGATCACCTCATTCCGCTGATCTACTACAATGTCTTCAGGGCCACGATTACGAACATTCACATTCTCTCTCTGACGTCCCTGCTCGCGGGCCCATGTGTACCAGACATTCACACAACACCGCTGTTTCCGCCACCCTGTCAAGTGCCAGACACTTTAATGCCTACTCCCACGCAAAGCTCGACCCCGCACGAAACCTGGATTGACATCTTCCCGTCGGGCTGTATGCGCGATAATGCCATTAAGTTTCGTGACCAGTATAGCCAACATGACTTGTGCAGCGATCTCGTTGGCTGTCAAGAAGGCGACGTTTCCCTTGGCCAGCCAGGCATCATTGCTTGGTCGGATCCTTGGCATCCGGACGGTTGGGAGGTCACAGAAACGTTTATAGAGAAATGGAGCTTCCTGCTCAAGGGGTGCGAGGATGTCATGAGAGCGACCAACAAATGGCGCTCCTTAAGAGGCGAGGAGCCGCTCGTTTGGGAGCTGGAATGATTCAAATGGTCAGTGGGGGAATCAATTTAGCCACAGAAATTGTATCAAGTCTGATGATGCTGGTGCTAGGAAATGGTTGACCGGTGCGTTGATCGAATTTGAGAATGGTTCATATCAGTCAAGGAAACCTAGCAACCCTGACTAAATACATACCACGCCTTCAGTATAGGTACACATCTAGACTGCCCAATTTCCTTGTCCGTTTTATCAAGCAAATCCAGGGTTATGTAGTCTCTAACACCAGTATAAAGCTCATCTCAATACCGTGGCGTTGCTTGTTTTCCCGGTTAAGATAGTAACGAAGAACACAGCACATCAAGACTCCAAGACCGTAGCTTATCAACATGGCTAAGAAACCAGACTGTAAGAAGTTCCTTCCCATTCAAAGCATGGTTGCGGGCCAAGAATATTATCAAAACAATATGCAATGAACGTCCGTTATCCTTCAAACCAGCATCCTTTTGACGAGATCTGGAAACTCGCACATACCATTGCCTTTCCTGTGTTTTTCTTGGTGAATCCGCCAAAGTTCCCGGACGACGCGAATAAGATCATGGGCAAATTGACGCTGTACGCGATCGCCAGGCACTACCCCATGAATCGTGCCCACTTCGGGCCCGATGGTATATGGCGTATCATGGCAGCACCAGCGATCGAGATTCTTTGATTTCACGCCATTCAATAGGTGAGGCTATTGCGGAGATCAATACTTCTTCTGGTGAACATCAAGACGACTACAAGCAGGAAGACGGATCCTAGCATTTGCACAGTGAGGGTGTTGAGAGTGCTGAAGCACATTCCTTTTATTACAATGGATCCGAACCCGTGGACACCCCCATTGGCAATCTGGGCGCTCATCTAGATGCTGAAGAGGAGACAGACTTTGATGTCAGCGAGGGCCTCAACGCACAGTACCATTTGAATGTGTCGCTCTTAATCCCCATCAGGTTTTCCTCGACACGCTTGACGACCTTCTTGCTATTAGCTTAATTGAGAAACCGAGCCTTCATTGGCGTGTCTGGCAAAGGAAGGAAATGGTCAAGGATCAGGCCGTGGTAATTCCGCCAAAGATGAGGAAAACAGCTTTCGCTTGCAAAAGCCAGTAAATCTTCAATGTTCCTTTAACCGATCGAACGAAAGACATGCCTTCCAAGGAGCAATGCTATCAACATGACCGATGGCGTAAGTAACAATGCCACCAAATATACCAGCAATGGTACCGACAAGGAGTCAGGCGCCATACCGGAGAGGCTGTTCTCGATGCTGAGGCCTGGCGCAACAGCGGCTTCGGAAACACCCAGCATGATGCGATTTGCCAGTACGCCACCGGCATTGAAGTAAAGTGCAGTGAACATGAAAACGGTCACCCGAAACGAGACTGTGCCTATTAGTTATGCCCCCAGGGGCGTGTTGCTAAGAAAAGGGTACTCACGCCGAGGTCGCAATAATCTTACTGACAGGAAGTCAGGCCATCATGACCCCTGCGGAATTTAAAGCAATAAGGTTCCCAAAGTAGCAAATACTGCTTAACCAGGATTACTCGGAGCCAGTCAAATGTAAGTCTTCCCGCCATCTCTGATGGCCGTACAGCTTAGAAGTGACTGGTCAAGGAACTGAAAAAGGTACTATATGGTCGTGACGGACAAAAGACTTTAGCTTGAACTCAGTAATCGTAATCCCGGGGTAGAAGTCCATTCAGGATTTCGTAACACATGTCGATCTTCCGGAGAACCCTCTTGTCTTCGCTAAGAGCTGGACCCTGCATTGAGGTGGAACCTTCACCAATGTCCTTCCACAGTCCATCGGCTTGGCCAATGCCAATACGAGGCTTTTCATATCTTCTCTGACATATTGAGGAGCAGTTGACAACCAAGTGCGGCTGGAAAAGAAGAAGAATAAGGTACAATGTTGAGGTAAGGCTTCAGTTGGGAGCTCCCGTGAACTGACCGGACGCTGCTACTTTGATAAGCGGATGGAGCTAATCTTATATCTATTGACTTTTCGAGGCTTGACATTTTAAGCCAGTGAAGTTCGAATTCGATTGCTGCAATCCCGTGCAAGGCCGTGGAGGTCCGGCCTCAGTCAGTGCCTTACGAAGGATATCGGAATTGGCCTCTCGCAGAGGCCCGTTGAGGTGATGGAAAAGTCGTCACCGAAACAATTGCTTGTTGTCCGCAATTCGTGTTCCGAGTTCCAACAAGATGCCTTTCATAATTGCTGACCAAGTTGTCACTGATAGATATAGTTGATAGCTGACGCAGCTTGGGGAGGAGACAATAGCAAATCCACATATCTGCCCTGACAACTCTGGCCATCCTCTAGCAATGTGGGGAAATATACCGGACTCTGTCTCTGGAGAGTCATGATTACCAGGCATTACGCCAAGATTAACCACTACAGAGGCTGGAGCGCGGCGGGGACGCCACGTTCGATGCCTGCTCGCTGAGAAAGCTCGGACAACCCCCGATCGTAAAGGTACTGGCGGCTCAGATAACGAAGAGGCCCACCTCACCGGATTGGAAGCGTTCGCGGACGTCTACCCGTCTCACAAGACTGTTCTGCATCTTGATAATGTCTTTGAGGAAGATATGTGCCCGGTCGAGATTCTTGCTAAATCGACTCATAGCCTGAAATCGGCTGACAACCCATTCGCGATGCAGTAGGTCGTCTGTCTCCAAAGCAACCATGAAAAGCGGCCATGCTATGCGTGTCATGGACTCGTCACCCTCATGCTTGAAAGCTTGGAAAGCCAAACTCATGATTTCCCTCAGAGCGTTGCGTTGACGGGCTGAAAGCATTGGCGTGGCGTCAAATCGTGTCAAACGAAGAAATTCGAGAACAACGGCATGATAGTGGGGCACAATGCCGCGAATATTAGCCACTAGTCGATGGGAGTTGTCCGTACTGATCGATAGCTCTGCGGCAACCTCGAGGAGTTCGGTGAATTTCCAGCCCACCTGCTGGATAGTCATATCGACAACCATAATGCGCTGTTGCTGCGAACTATCGTCGTCGTGTGAAAGATTAGCGAGTTGTGCAATCATGAAGCGTAGTTGGCCACAGGCACCCAGAAGAGCGAAAACATTCCGATTCTCGACGTCGTCGAGAAGCTCTGCCTGGGGGTACGAATCAGCCCACATGCTCCGGTACAATGGATTAGAGAAGCGGTGCAATCTCTCGAAGGCTTTAAGCGGCTGGAATGGGCTGGATATCCCGCTACTAATGGGGCCATCAAGGGCAGCCATGATTTTGTGTAGAGCGCAGTTCAGTTGACCGCCGAGACCATATGATGCGGCGGCGGCATCATGCACTGCGATCCAAACAAGCAACCGTGCTGAGTAAAGTGACAGGCGAGACCCATTTGCATCTTGTCCTCGTCTCGTGAGGGCTAAACTTTTCCGGTTCGTCTCCGGCGAGGGGTTTGGCAACTGGAGTAGTAAATGCTTGAAGCGATGTTGTAGTATCAAGCTTGCGCCGGCGAGATGATTGGACAAGCCTTGACACTTGCCGTCCCCATACTTTTGTTCGTAAAGAAGCATGAGATACAATCCTGTACAGACTGCATCAAGATCCAGTTGGCCATTGTCCTCACCACCAATGGTGTCGGCCATCAATCTGAGTGCTGAAGAGTAATGCTGAATGGGCGTCTTTGGGCCACGTGCCTCTTCTGCATCCTTGTTGCGACGGAACTCCAACTCCCGACCTCCAAGGGCAAGTACCACATGCATGACCATAGGATCAGTCTGAGCGATGTCGAACATGATGGAGTACAGCGAGTAGTCGGGGTTCTTGGTGTGATTTTGCTTTGCAAAGGATGTGCGAAAGTACCGGATTGCCTCGTGATCAGCTGATGAAAGATCAAGGGAGCAAGCCCCCATAGCCGGAGCCGACGGATTGAACAACGATAGAGCCTTGGACTGGTCTAATTGGGAGACTGTCTGCACCCACGTCGGCAAGCTGGGCGACGTCCCATTTCCTCCAGCCGACGAGGAAGACGATGCGCCGGGTTGAGACGAGAGGAGCCGACCTTTGCGTGTTTTGCCCCTTTTTGTAAGCTTGACGCGAGGTGCATAGTCGCAAAGGAGCCGCAGACGTGTGCAACGATGACAGTTTGGTCGCTGCTCGTCACACTTCACCTTCTTGGTGCGGCACGTCCAGCATCCGTTTCTCGAACGCGGTCCACTCCGACCCTCGCCCGTGCGCTCCGCTGCGGCGGAAGCGGTGGTACAGACAAGTCCGGCGGCGTCAATGGATGGTGATTCCTCGGCAATAATGTGAAGACCGTCGGCTGAGACAGAGCTTGCGCTGCCGGGTGAGCTCCGATCGGCTTCGGAGGGAGAAGTGCTCATTGGTAGTCGCCTAACCAACTGATTTGAGGTCGGCTGTTTCGACTGGTAAAGGATTCCGGCTGAAGTACTCGAGTGGAGGTAAAGGGCTGGGGTGTCTCACCGGATTTCCAGCTGGAAAACACCGTGTTGACGCGTCTGGGGAAAGGAGGACGATTTGAGTGGGAACTGTGGATGGTATGACAGCTCTTGGTTGCAGCGTTGTCGGGACTGACAGGGAATACGGAATCGGAAGAGAATGTCTATACATACGCAGGAGAAAGAGAAGATAAGAAGAGCCGACTATTACACTGAAAGCGAGTGACGAAGCTGGCTGGGCCATAAGCAACAGCTTCCGGGTGGTGAGTACTCTGTAGCGGCAAAGTGCTCATCGAATGAAAATATTCCATAATTGCCGACCATCGGCTATCTTCAGTACCTATCGGGAGGGCCTGCTGGTCGGCTGGCTGAACGCACCGATTGCCGATGGATGGTTGCCCCGCACCAGCAAATGTCATGAACATCTCTGTGAGAGGCGGATCATCATTGATATGTCTCCCGCGCCCTGACACCTAGTGAGCGAATACTCTCAAGATCACTGCATTCTGCAACTGTCCAAAACTTATTTCACTCCCACCCGACCGCGCTGGACCTGGCCCGCCAAACGTGGCAACTTAGTTTAGACGTTTCTTAGATTCGCCTCGCTAATTACAGGGCATTCCCACATTGGACAGTTTCGCCATGTCTATTATCCAAATCCCGGTCGCTGCTAATGCTACCGAGCAACAAGAGACCGCCAATCAAACCCCCGAAGCAATGCAAGGGTCCTTGGACTACGACAAAGCCCGCCAGATTATCAACGCGCATCTCGATGACTTGGACTCATCTCTCCACAACAACATCAACAAGCAACTGCACTCGAACCCAGAAACGGCATACAAAGAGTTTTTTGCTCACGACACCATCACGGCTTATCTTGAAGAGCAAGGTTTCGCAGTTAGAAGGCATACTTATGGCCTCGACACGAGCTTCGAGGCCGAAATTGGCTCCGGTGGCCGCCAAGTCGTTGTTTGCGCTGAGTACGATGCTCTTCCAGACATTGGCCATGCCTGCGGACACAACCTCATTGCAACGTCTTCAATTGCAGCATTCTTGGGGGCTGCTCGTGCACTCGTTGATCTGAAAATTCCTGGACGCCTACGCATCTTGGGAACCCCTGCTGAGGAAGGGGGTGGTGGTAAAGCGAAGCTCATTGATGCCGGTGCCTTTAACCCACCTAAGGATATTGCGGCCGCCATTATGGCGCATCCAACCGCAGCTCACCAGGGCGGCAGTGGGAATGGCGCCTCCGGAATTGCAGGCTTCAAGCTCATTGCAAGCCATAAATTTCGCGTCGAATTTCGAGGGAAATCCGCCCATGCAGCAGGCGAGCCGTGGAAAGGTGTGAACGCCTTGGACGCAGCTGTAGCGGCCTACAGCAGCGTGGCTCTTTTGAGGCAGCAAATCCAGCCAGACGAACGGGTTCATGGTGTAATCGAAGTCGGAGGCACCGTTCCCAATGTCATAACGGATTACACCCGTATGAACTGGAATGTTCGCAGCCCAACGATCGACCGCGCTGATGCGCTGTTGAAGAGAGTCAAGGCATGTCTGGAAGCAGGTGCAGCGGCGACGGGCTGCGAGATTAATTACATTGTGTAATTTTCATGAATGCTATCTTTGTTTTCACTTTGCTAACATCAATTACTGTAGGGCGCCAACATACATGAACTTACGGGCTAATGACACTCTATGCAAGATCTATGTGGAAGATATGGCGGCAATTGGCCAGACAATTCAGCTTCACCAGGCAAAGCCTTTTAACGCCTCAACGGACATGGGAAATGTGTCCTATGTCGTGCCTAGCTTCCACGGCGCATTCGTTATTCCGACCTCACCAGATGTGGCAGGCCACAATCCCAAATTTGCGGCAGCTGCTGCGACTCACGAAGCTCATAAAGCAGCTCTCACATGTGCGAAGGGAATGGCAATGCTTGCCGTAAGAGTGCTTGTAGACGACACGATTGCGTCCCAAGCGAGGGAAGACTTCGAAAGTCCTGATGAGGATTGAACAGTGTCATGGTGAAAGCATCGGGATTGTGTTGGAGTACCAAATACCTTGCAGGAGAAAACTTGTATTTAAACCCTGTAACATCCTCTTGACAGATCTTGGACGATAATCAAGGCAGGTGTCCATCATACCCAGCTTCTATGAGCCTTTGGTTCGCCTCCCAAACCTTAGGAGGAATTTCCTGTTCAACTTGAAACCCCTTTGCAGGATACTCTCGGATTCTCACCAAATCTCCAACCACGATATCAATGACCAAGTCTCTGGGGTTCTCCTTGTCAGGATACTGGGCAAACTCCAGTTCAGGACTTGTTACAGTGAACACTGTTTCAGAGTCCGGCCATTGTTTTCGGAACGTTGCATATGTTCTTCTTTCCATGTACGGCTTTTGGACTAGCACAAAACTTGTGATGTCTAGTTCTAGGTCTTTCAGAAGGGCATGGGTGAAACGGACATTCTCGCCCGTGTTGCTTGCTCGTGGCTCAACAATAATCTTGTTGGCAGGTACTCCTAGCTTCTTTGCAATACCTGCAAATACTTCGGCTTCTGGTTTCGTGAAACGACTTGCCGTCAGCTTTCCTGATCCACCAGAGTAGATAAGATAGTCCCCGTGTCCGCCGAGAAAAAGCTGAGCTGCGCGAGTAGCTACTCGCGTGTCGAGACTGCAAAGGCAGAAGATGGCACTAGCAGGATTGATGAGCATGTGCATTCGATGATATTCATAAATAGTTTGTGCATCAAGATCGATTTGAAGCAACTCAGTAGACATTTTGAAGTGAAAATCGGAGAGCAGTGCCGTATAATGCTAGCTGTGATGGGCATGTGGCGGGAAAAGGGAGAATTGAACGAATGAGAGGCGACTAATTAAGTATTTATTTAATTGAATCCATGTTAGTCAGCATCTGGTATTGTAGGTGACTAACCAAGTACTTGTTGAGCCTGAACGCGATGTCAATAATATGCAGGCGACGAGACATGCTCGTGGCTTGTAGACTACCTAAGCTCCAGCTATTGGATTTTTTAGCGGGGCGACGCGCCTCCCCTGAAGGGGAAAATCCGAGACTCATGGATCAGCTCTGTGAGGGAAGCAATCCGAAAGACATCAATGCCTCGAAGGAAATGCAGATAACATATGTTGTTCACTTATTACCCCCGGAGATGAGCTGACCATTACGTGCTATCGAATTTCAATGGTATCCTGCAAGACGAGGTTTCTGCTTGATGAGCCAGACCACACCGTGTAAATTCCTGGGCTTAAACGCCATTGTTGAGCTTCGACATCCCAAATACTAAGATCTCGTCTTGTTAGTTCAAACGCAACCGACTGCGTCTGACCAGGTGATAGGAAGACACGGGAAAAGCCTCGGAGCTGTCGAATGGGCGAATCATTACCCGGAACTCCGATATATAGCTGGGCAACCTCCGCTCCGTCCAGGTCACCGGTATTGGTGAGAGATACTTTCGCAACTGCAACGATCTCCCATAGTGATGGATGGCCACCCTGAACGATTGGCAGATCAGGGTCGGGGTATTCTGATGTATCAGCATCTGATGTGAGGCCAACTGACAAATCAGCAAATCTAAAAGTAGTGTATGAAAGCCCGTAGCCAAACTCGTAGCGAGGAGTAATGTTCTTTGCATCAAAGTAACGGTAATCGATGTATAGGCCTTCGGTGAAGTTACTATCGGGGAAGAAGTCGTCTGAAGCACTGGAGTTGAGATGGCTTCCATAATCCGACTCCTGCCGAGCGATAGTAAAGGGCAGCTTGCCAGAGGGATTAATGTCTCCCCACAACACATCCACAAGACTGTGGCCACTTTCTTGGCCAGGGAGTCCGGCAAACAGAACTGCAGTGACGTTGGGGTGATCGATCCATGCATCAACAGTGCGGATGCCTGGAATTCGTCAGTATTGAGGACTTTTGATCAAAGTTGCCCAAGAACTTGCAAAAGGAAGTCTCGATTTATTCGACTTACCTGCTGAGTGAATGATGACTACGGTGTTTGAACAATTAGCGGCTACGTTCTGTACGAGATTGTCGCTGAGTTTGTCTGTGAGGCTCAGGCGATCAAAGCTCTCAGAGGCATAGGCGTTGATGAAAACAAGACAGGCCTCGGAGTTGACGTAGGGTGGAGATGGGTTCTCAGAGTAAAAATCCCAACGTAGAATGCCTCGCTTCTTTGAAAGTCGCTCCTGAATGGCTTGAAATGGCGAAACTACGTATGGAGGAGTACTGCCACCAGAGCCACCGCCAGTAATCATGGTCCCGTTGAATGTTTCCCAGCCGAAGTTGATTTCGTATCCGCCACCATAGCGACTGGGATTCTGCCAAGGGATTGCTTTGACCGTTGCGTCGTAGCCGTAAATAGACAGGAATTTCGGATTCTTCAGGGGGAGCGTATGGTTGATGTTCTTCACCAAAACAGTGCCGGCTGCTCCGATTTGGCGGATCAGAGAAGCGTGATCATCCTGAACGTCGACGGGGTATGCCTTTTGAAAATTGGAGTGCACTGCTGGAGCAGGGAAAGCATGCTCTTGGTGAAGAAAATGATAGCCAGCGAGGATTCTAGTGGCCATGTCAGAGAGTCGATCATCGGTTACGGAACCATTGATGACAGCCTCAACTAGCCTTTCTCCCCAGAATCCGGCGTCCGGCATCACAAGATCCAAGCCAGCGTTAGCTGAGGCAACGCCACCCATTTGGCCTTGCCAATCGCTCACAACAAAACCTTCAAAACCAAGCTCGGTTTTCAGGATTCCGTTCAAAAGCTTGGAGTTTTGACAACCGTAAGAGTGATTCGCTCTTTGGTATGAGCACATGACAGATGCGGCTCCCTCTTTGAGAGAGTTCATGAAGGGCCAGACGTAAAGTTCGTGTAGCGCTCGATCGTCCACATTTGAGCTGATAGCTTCGCCCAGGTCGGATACCCGTCGGCGATACTCTTGCTCGTTCAAAAGCCAGTGTTTGGCGGTGGCGATAACACCAGCACTCTGGATGCCACGAGTGATCGCGCCCATACCAACACCCGCAAGGTAAGGATCACTCGACAAACCCTCCCAGTTGCGCCCACCGCGAGCGATTCTCCCAAGAGGACCAGCAGCTGGACCGAGAGCAACATTGATTCCTTTGCCGTAGTACTCATCGCCAAGCGCCTTGCCATATTTGTACAGGAGGGTTTTGTCAAAGGTAGCGGCAACGTGGATTCCTGCTGGGAAGGCAGACACAAATTCTTGACCACGAATTCCGTCTGGTGCATCGGCGAAGCACAGTGCTGGAATCCCTAGCCGAGGAACCTCGCCGGAATTTCCTACACACGTGCCGGTCCATCCTCGGGTGATGTTTGCTTTCTCTTCGACGGTAAGTTGGGAGACCAAGGCCCTTGCGTGGCGATAAGCGGCGGCCCAGCCAGCGTTGCTTGAGCCATTGCCAATTGCTGCTTTATGTTAGAGGGTTCTGAGACAACCGATGATACTCAAACGCCTACGAGATGGGTACACCGGTGGGCTTCGTCCGTAATACGGCACCTCAGACGGTGAGGTGTTGTTTGTCTGTGCCGCAGCTGAAGAGCTGACGAGAGCCACAGCGAGAGAAAGCCCGGCAGTCTTCATTATCACGTGGAACACGAAACGAATTTGCCAAGTCTGGATCCAGGAAGGCAGTGCGAGAGACTCTACATTACCACCAGGTCTCATAGACTTGCTCCCTGCAAAGAAGTTTAATATAGCACTTGTAAACTTGGCAGAAACCGAACTGAGCCAATGGACTTTACTCTGTCTCTTAAGGTCATGGCCGGTTAAGTAAAGCCCGAGATGGGTAATATTGCAACAGTCAATCGGTCCTACTCTGAAGATGCAATGGGCGCCTGCAGAAAGTGGATTCGTGACTCGACTTTACCCGGCAAATAGTAGTTGTTATCGGATTATTATCAGTCAAATTTCTGTGTGCGATCGGTTTTGGTCGGTAAGGGGTTATGAAATGACAGGGCGCCGAGCCAATCGTCAACCCGGAAGACTACCGGCGGGTCACCAGGGGTCACCGGAGCTGCTCCGGTCTACCCCGCGCTCTCCGCGTTGGAAACTGCCCGCTGCTACGCAAAACAAGATTAAATCCAGGGCTTGGGGGTCTTTCTGTGGATAGGTGGGCAAATTTTCCCCGGGGAATTCCCGGCTCCATTGTCTGCTAACATTGAGCCCAACCATTCGATAATCCAGGCCGAAATGGCGCAAGGCTTTCCATTTTGACGTCTTGCGGGACATGTCCCTCACCTAGTTTAGAGTCCACAACATGAATCTGCGAGCATCGGACAAGAGCGAGGCCTTAGAAGCTCAACCCTAGTATATGGCCGAGGATCGCAGAGAAGAAAGAAGCCCAAGATACCATCATGAGCTTTCATGTTTTGGCCCTGGATGGAACTGCCGCAAAGCCCATGCTTACGCTCAATTCACACTGTTTTAGGTCGCCACGCGTGATTGGTTTCTGAATGCAAGATGTTCGTGTTTTTGCCACTTCGTATTCGGATTGTTGCATGCGATATCGGCTTGCTTTGACAGGCCGTTGGCGAGTCAAACCATGACTCGAAAACGGGCCTCAAATAGTTGAAAGTTGGATTGATGGTTGTCATCTTTTACGTGCCAGGGACGTATAATTGAAGTAAAAAGGGGTTGCGCTCTCTTGAAATGTGCACATCACACTACTTGATATACCACTACTGAACCTGCGTTCATCTTGGCAGACAACAGTGTAACTTGGAAGTACTATCAACGCCGAGGCTGCCATCTGATATTCATCCCATCGTTGTAGTCTTGACTTCCTTACAGATTGAAGGTCTCTGGCGAGTTCGGATTATTACAGCCAATCGTGTTTTCAGCCCGAGGGGAAAAGCTTATCTGAGATTTGCTTCACACCGGAATGCTTCATCCCTGCTGCGGCGCTTTCCGCTTGAATATGCGGGAGCATGATGATATGAGGAAGCCACTTATTCGAGATCAAGCTCAAGAAAAGCCATCAATTAAAATGCGAATAGGCCTTCTAGATGACATAGCCAGCTCGGCGCTGAATAATTGCGTGGAATGTGGAATAAGCTATCTTGATAAGGTTTGGAGTACATACCTTGGTGCTGTCATCACACCTATAATGACTTGACGTTAGTACAACGGTTGGTACTTGAGAGAATGAGAGACGGCATGCAATCGAGGATTATGTGTTACAACTCGGACGGCAGTGAAACGGCTTCCGGTTCCGTGCGAGTATCAGACATCAGCTCAAGTGTACTCGCTTGCATGGGCGTCCGAACCCCAAGTTTCCACCCCACGTACTTTTGAGATATAACAGTAGGCATGGCCCCGATCGCCAAAAACAGGTGCGACAATGGTCTTGCTCGGATTGAATTTGCCTGGAATTCCCAAGTCTCCGTCGCGTCTTGCACGCCAGCCCGAACAACATAATTTGAGATGCGGCCCCCTTTCCTTATAACGTTGTGCGTTGTCGGTGCAATGACGGCCCCAAACCTGCCACGACAAGAGCCAGGGCCGACCGTGCCCCTACGGATAATGGCGCTGGGCGCATCCGTGACGTTTGGTACCGGATCCTCAACTGGCAACAGTTACCGAAAAGATCTCCAGGACCTGCTCGTGTCTAAAGGCATGAATGCCACTTACGTCGGCACTAAAACCAATGGAAATTTCCCCGACAATGCCGTCGAGGCCACAGGTGGCTTCAAAATCAACCAAATCGCTGCTTCCGCCGAAAAAGCTATACCTATGGTGAAACCAAATCTTGTGCTAGTCGACGCTGGCACCAACAACTGCAACAAAGGCGGAGAGGTGCCGGATGCCGGAACCAATGTCACAGACATGATCAACAAAATCTACCAGCAAAGTCCCGGAACCACTGTAATACTGGCTTCAATTCTTGCCAACAAAGTCCCAGAACAAGACGCATGTCGGATCAAAATCAATGACCAGTACACAGCCTTGGCGGTAAAGTTTCAGCAATCTGGGGCTAAATTCGCGATGGTGGACATGCGCGGCGCTGATGCCCCGACCCTCGACGATCTTGCTGATACAAGGCACCCTAATGATGGAGGATATGTGAAGATGGCCAATGTATGGCTCAAGGGAGTTCAGGAGGTTATGTCCAAGGGGTTCATCACTTTACCCGCTTAAAAGCTCAAACAAGGATGACGGTACTTAGTCACTGAAGCACTGATGCAACGCAATTGAATTTAGCATCCCTCCTGAACAGGAGAAGATTTCAAATTCGTGGTGATGTAAGTGACTGAAATTCTGCTAACATTTAAGGTATGAGGATCAATTAAAAAGCTACTTTGTATCTCTAGAATGAGCCTGTTGACAAGGCAGGGAAAAGACTAGCAAGTGACCAACTGTAAACCAACACGCACGAGGGGTTATATTAGGTCTGATAGTTCCCCGTGGTAAAAGTTCCAGCCCTCACTACAGGAACCAGTAGTAAAGCAAAAACATGCTAGCAGAAGACTCTCCCATTAGGCATGGCGCACAAATGCTTTGGCACTTCTACATCGACAAGACATTGGCTTCACCCATTTGCCGCAGATATCAGAAGTCTTTCTCATATTAAAATAAGGCAATGTTCTCCATAGAAGAGCCCTTCTATTCCCTCCATTGTATTAGCAGACAGGAGAGAGCGGTTGACCGGATCTCACCTAATTGCTCAGCACCTTGCATGCGTGTAGTGTAAAAACCCCGCCGAACGTAGGAAACACGCCTGAAAGGTTGAAAGACTGGTCCCAAGCCGGTTAAGTTAACAATGCACGTTGGCGTAAAGACGAAAGTCTCAGAGTAGATGGGAATGACAGGCACCTAGACGCAACTCCCTGCTTACTATTCCGTCGAGACCCCGTTGTAGAGCGGATCATATATAAATAACATGCCCAAGGTATTAATCGCTCCGTCTATGTCCTAAGCTTGTTGTTAGTCTCATTTTGAACATGTTCACTAGTCAGTTATGAAGCTGAACAGAAATGGCGACCGCACGATGTCGCGGTTCTGTGTTGACAAATTAAGCTGCAGCTCTGCCTTCTTCCTCTTTATTAGGGAGAATTCTTCCCACGGCAATCTTCGAACGCAAATGTATAAAAGTCCTAACCCCACTTTCGAACCGAGGGTCAAACCGGGCGGCGGCAATTTGAATGAGGCTACTGCAGAACATGCTCGTCTACTATTGATAGCTTTCAATGCTACTCTGATGGTCGGCGATGTAAAATGCCTCCAATGTTGTTTCTTTTCTGGCCAATCTTTTTGGAAGGATTAACTAGTAGTAAACTATCATTAACATAAGTACGTTTATGGCCCCACGCAGCATTTCAGCAAGTCTCTTGGAAACGGAAGACCTCAGAGATATCGACGGTGACATTAGCCTCAGTGGTATATCTCAGTTCATGCCTGGAACATCGTTTCTCGTTAGTCCCTCATGGCGAAGGTTCCACATTAGCTTCAAGAACAATACAATCCGTGTTGTCGCCAGCAATTTATCGATGGTTCGATGGTCTTTACAACCTTGTCCGCGAGGGAAACTTGTAGAGGACGCTTAGTCCTTCTTCCGTTGAAGAGTCGTCCGTCTGCACAAGAATCCTCTTCGAAGATTTGGATGTACTGCATGGCTGGAAGGCGACTGGCAAGACATTGAATATGCTTTAATCATTGGTTCTGCCACCAACGCCTTTGATATCCCCAGCGAATGCGACTATGCTAAACTGCAGACGATGATGGTCTTTCGGCCTCCTACGTACGTTATTTCTTTTCGTTGATGTCAGGTGCACAGCCACCAGCGGGGCGCCGGGGGCTCTGAGGGTGCAGCTATTGTGGCACCGGCGATGGATTAACGTTATCCCCATATGAAAGGAGTTATAAGGGAATTCTAGGCGTAGTAGACTTAGGAAGGGCAGATTCGAATGATAGTCACCAGTAAATCCTACGTGGACGGCCGACCCCTTCACTTGATACGATGCGGCCTGACAGTTGAGTATATATGCGACAAACGAAGCCCCTGCGCTCACGATTTTGGCGCAGAAGGAGGAGATAGACTTTTCATGACACTTCCCACTCGTGTTAATGTCTAACTAGGCCGTGGATTACTTTCGCAATTCGCCTCAGAGGAACCGGACCGATTTAAGGCTCTAACTGCGGCTGGGTTCTTAGCCCTTGATAGTCAGAACCAGGAGTGTGTACTGACGCATAACCTCATTGAGCGCACCGGTGGTTATCGCGTTGTTGCAGGTATCATTTACATCTTGGCTCGGGGCGGAACAGCAATAATAGCTGAAGCACATCCAATTCCTACACTGGATGTGGACCGAAACTCTCCCACGGAAATAAGGCTCAGGCTGACTCCATCATTTGGTGCACGGGCTTGGAAAGGTATTAACATGAATAATGTCGACCCTCAACCGAGTACCGGGTACTGACAAGCTGGCGACATTGCGCCCCTCCTGGATGTGACGTGGGGGGCATTGACATTGAAGGAGAGATCCGGTCATGTGGAAGAACCGGCATTTGGACGTCGAAACATACTTACTCGGTTAGGGGAGGATATACACATTTGCTCTGGAGGTATCTTGCCGCCAGCTCACCGTAGCACCCCTGATTAGGATTAGTAGCAACAACGAACATTTGATTGGTTTTGTTGAAGAGTCAACAGTCAAAACTTGCTGCGGCACTGACTTGGACCCAAACGGTATCAAAGACCAAGAGAAGCACTGATATACGTGGTTTGCTTATTGCTTCACTAAGAGATATTAAAAACGCCCGAGCGACATCCCCATTGACATACAAGATAGTTTTGAGGCTTAAAAGCACCTGCCGGTCTGGAACACCCAACTATGACGATAGCTTTGCGATGCTTTCATTGCCAGCATCCGACCGCGCTACCGATTGGGCGGTGGCCCAATTGAACAGACAGGCTTGCACTAATTTAGTTAGTCAGATCCAGGGCTAAACACGCAAGAATGTGCGTCGAAATAAACATTAAATACTTACCTCAGTCAGCATCTCCTGTCGAGCTGCTGAGACTGAATCGTGTCGCGAAAGTTAATAACATTAACAACTTAGGACTGTCATGATATTGACCAACTTTCTGCGATGAGGCACCTAGATAGCTAGCACGCCCCTCTCGACTGGCATCCATCTTGAGGCTACTACGGACTACCGCAGGGCGCGCAAGCCATCCATTACGCGTATCTTTTCTCACATGACATTGCGACCGGCAATGCTTTCACACACCTTTCTCTGCCAGATGGCATGGCCAAACCCCTTTTCATTCCAATATAATAGCATCACACAGAGTTGGCTGGGACCTCGTGGGATGGTACTACACGACGCAAGTTTAGTGTGCAATAGTGCAGAGATGCTCAGACACTAGCAAACGGTACGGCGTTTCATAGGGGCACCATACGCTATTTTCCTTCCTTCGTGCACCCGTTCAATTTTCATCCAGTGTTTATGTACAGGGAAATGCTCCCTTAACCTGGTTGGAAATTCTGTGCCCCATTCTCCATCTACATCTACCTTTCTAATCCATGTTTCGCAGTGTTTTCCATGAAATCTGGAATAAACCTGCGAACATGAGACGAATGAAGCATTATTTTGTTGTGCTGCTGCTTTCACCGTGTCACATGCCAGTATGGGGCGCGGAAACTACTGTGCCCAGCCTTGTATCCCAAATTCCTTCTTGTGCAGTCAGTACTTTCTACCTGATCCCCTGGTCATGTCTATCTCCAAGTCTCACTTCTCGGGATCGATTAACCGGAGACTGCTTCGCGTTGGTATTTCACTGACGTGCCATTCGTGCTCACAGCTTCCATGTCTACTAACTGGTCTTCAACACGGTGGCTGTGGGCTGGATTCTGTTTCCACTGTCGCCAACTGTTTATGTATCGACGTTGGACTTCAAGCAGATCTTTCGTCGTGTGTACGGCTCAAGTGTTCATTCGAGGACCAAAAACGTAAGACTACATGTGACAACCTTTGAAAGACCTGGCGATGACTTATTCTTCAATAGATGCTGCCCAGGTTGAGGCAGAACTATGTGTCGCTTTCCCGAAACCTTCAAGAAGAGAAGAAGCAAGGGCAGTGGCATTATCCTTGTCTATAATAGCCTTCGCAATCGTCGGACTTCGATGCGTCTCACGATACTTGATTGACCGTCGGCTATGGTGGGACGACTGGATGATTATTGCAGCTACGGTAAGTCTGACAGCTAAGAAGATTCGATGATGTTTGATGATTAACAAATCACTATTAGTTACTTCTAGCTGCCATAACAGGTATTCAGATTGCAGGAACTACTTTAGGGTTTGGGCTGCACTACTGGAATGTCGACCCACGGGCAAGCACGAGGCTCATACAGATGTTCTACGTCGGCGAGCAGCTATACATTTTGGCTCAGATCCTGGCTAAAGTATCGCTCCTTCTCTTCATCTCGCGAATCTTCTTTTCATCTCGATGGTTCTATCTCACGACACAACTCTTCATTTTATTTCTGGTACTGCACGCAGCAATATTTCTTTTTCTTGTTATCTTCGCATGCACACCGATAAAGTCTATCTGGAATCTTGACGATCCGTCACGGAAATGTATGAACATTGCAGCAATCGGTTACTCTGGCGCAGTGTTTAGCGTCATCGAGGACATTGCTATCCTAGTTCTCCCAATTCCTGAGCTACTTAGACTGCAACTCAATACCAAGCAGAAGGTTTGGCTAAGTCTAATGTTTGGCCTAGGTTCATTGTAAGAAACCCTTGCCACTGAAAATCATTGCTAAACATCAGTAGTGGATGCGTTACTAGCATGGTCAGATTGAAATACCTGATCAACCTCTCTTCTATATCCGATGTTACTTGGGATAATGTCGATGTTATCAATTGGTCTCTGGTCGAAGTCTCGTGTGCCATCCTTTGTGGAAGTCTTCCTGCACTGCGACCACTTTTTCGTTCCCTGGCTAGCAAGAAACCGAAGAAAACCACAGATGCCACACATTTCGAAGGCTACCAACCACGCTACAGAGGGGACAGATTTAGTAAGATTTCAAATTCCGAACCATCAACCGAGCTATCACTGTCAGCAGTTGATACGGATCTCCAAGACATAGCAAGAGAATTTGTGAGGTGGAATAGCGAAAGTTTTTCGGAAGGCAATTTTCACTCTGTTACTACATGAAGATTTGGGAGTCCAACTTCAAAGGGTGATGTATGAAGGAGAGATTGTAAACAGTGTACTGAATCGAAGACTCTTGTTAAGTGTGAAACGTGAATGAGATTGTGAAGCTCAAGGAGAGAAGATGAGATCACGGGTTGAATATGTGCCCAAGCAGATGGCATTCACAATGCAAGAAGCAGAAGCGTTCATAACCCCTTTAGCTATGTTGGAGGGATTTCTTTTTTTTTTTTTTTTTTTTTTTTGGGATAACACGCTTGACAAGTTTATGTTGGTGATGGTGCGATTATGACATCCTTTCCAAGAAATTAATATTTTCATTAAACTTAGTGCCTCCGCGACTGTCACTCTCTGTTTATAAAAGTTTTCTACCTGAAGAAGAGCAGTGATATGGTTGTCTACGTCCAAGAAAGCTTGGCCTTTCTAAAGGCATGTTGTAGGTCGTGATTGTTGGCAAAAATATTACGTGGTTGAGATACACTGCTTTATTCCTGGACGTCGTGGTCTCTTCTGCTTCCACTGTTTTCAAGCTTCTAGTTTCATCCGATAGAGTGCAAGCCTGGATGACAAAATTGTCAGTGGTGGGACGTGAGCCTTTCGGTATTTGCGACTTGCGGGGACGTAGGCGCAGCCTACTAAGGCTAATGGTTTGGTCCCCGAACCTCCTTCAGACCTCAATTTAGAAGGTTTTCAACTTCCGTTTTACCCCAGCCGAGCCCCTTTGTCAGATCCGCCAAAGTTCAGCCCCGATCCCAGGAATACATTTCTTGTGCAACCATTCACCTAGAAGCGTATGAGGCGCTTTGGGCCACGTGTTCAAAGGCCACTTGATCTTCTTGATGAAAACATGAACAGAACCGGTATCCCTCGTAACGCGGAAGGAGATCTAGGAAACCTTAGAAAGATTGATTAGGCACTATAGCGGCTTCTCTGAGTGGAGCCAAACAGCGCAGATTAGCGGCATCGGGTTTCAAGCTGCCATCGTCCCATTGGGGCATGAGACATATTCCTTGAAGCTTAAGGTACCCCGCAGGCTTGAGATTGCTTCTACTATAGTCAACTTTAATATAAGTAGCTGAAGGGGGCATGTTAGAACGCACTCATAAGCTCTCATGATGAAATATCTCCAGTTGGATATCATGGATGTCTTCATCCGGCTGTGAGTGCTTCCAGGGTTCCTCGATGTAGATCATCATACTCGGCTATTGGAGGGGACAGATCCATGCCAATGATCAAAGATCATGGTCAGTAAATACCCAAAAGTTGAGAGAGACTTCTGTAATCTATTTCTGCTTCGGCGTAGAGCTCTTCAAATTCGGCTTTTTAGATAACTGTCGCGGCATTCACATTGAGAAAAGTCTTCGCCAGGGATTCCTCTATCTTCGGTGACGATAGGTCGAGACTGGCATCTACAGGAAGCAAACATTGATATTATAGATCTGTACGGACGTAGAATACTTTAGCAATGATCGTCTTGTGGAGCTCCAGACACGCAGGGCTGCTTACCTAATTTATCACTTTCGTTATTGGGATAAGACGATCCTTTGCGAAGAGACACAGCCACGGCAATTTGCTGAATGAGAAGAAGTGTGGGGAAGATTCATTTCCATCCTCATATCTATGATAAGTGCGGCATGGAAGTCGTAAATTAAGTCTGCTACCTGTCTTCGAAAATGCAATGCTCTGAATAGCAGTCAATTTATGATAGAATGTCAGTAGGAAACCGGAAACTGGAATGAGTGTCGCTAAAGCTGCCAATATCCAGCATAAATAGTCGCCGAGACTCATCTCTTCGTCAACGGTGACTGGTGGATCCTTAGAGAATTGAACGTCCGATGCGACAGGCACGGCAGATAGTGTTGACGTCAAATGTTGCGCTGTTTGTTGATGACGGGATACGTGGCCGCCTCTCCGTATTTTCAAGCTTCAATCCCAAAGAAGCAAGTTTATGAGAAGGGAAAGACATCGAGCGACGGCCCATCTGCTTGATGCGTTACCCCTCTTCCAAAATGTTGATACATGTTGGTCGACACAGTCATATTTGACGGACTGCTGTTGCTGCGCCGCTGCCAGCAACACATGGGTACGCCAAACGATTAATGTCGGCAAAGTAATAAGGGCTTTATATGTATACCGGGGCTGGAATTAAATATAGGTTTAATGGCTTCGCCTTAGCGTTGCCTCTGCGATTTCGCAAAGGAAACGCTTTGGCAACTTGGTTATGTCTACCGACATCACGACCAATCGTGCTTATTCTAGACAGAATACCTCTAACCTAGGTCGCTGAGACTTGTTATGTCTTGGATGTCGTATCGGAGACACAGCAATATTTACAGATCGACGTCGGAGTCGAAATGGAAGAATATTGACGTTGCTAAAAAGCTGCTTTGAATAACAGGAGGTCGGTACAATGCTTCGCAATAAATTCTAAGTTGCCTATAACAGATGTAAAAGCGATATGTAATAGTTTGATCTTTACTAGGGCTATGTGACGCTGGCTATGGTCGACCATGGTGAACAAACGGATGAAGTGGGAGTCCAGAGTCTTTGGATAGACTAGCACCCGCTCAAAGCACTACTTCAACACGCGGTCCTCTTTTTTCCGTCATCTTTGCCTCCGCAGTTACACTACAAAGTGCGCCCGTCGGGCTTTTAACGGAGTGCGAAGGAACCCGCATCTTTAGCATTTGCGTCCAGCAGTATGCATTGCTCTCTACTGCGTACGAACTGACAGTGCATGTGGGACCGGTATGGCAACATAGGAGGGGTTTGCTACGTTACCAGGGTCGGGCCGAAGTTAAGCGATGTAGCTTTCCTCTTAAGTAACCAATGGCTTCAGAAGGAATGGTGGAGCTAACAGCTGTGGTTTTTGCCGCAGCGCGTACAGCCGTTGGCGCACCCATCTTTTACCAAAGACTGAGATAGTTTGCATCCACTACACCTCCACCGGGGTTTCATACGTTAGCGCAGTGAATTGACAGGGGGTTCGGCCCACTTACGCCCACTTACGCCCAAGGTACCAATTCTATCTTCTTCGCCTAATTTCTATAGCTAAAATAGGGACAGTACTTTTAAAATAAAAACCGAATTACCGAAATTCCCTACCTTCCTCCACTATTGACCTAACCCAACCGCCATGGATTCTACTACTTCGTCGCCTGCCTCGTAATCGTTAACTATCTTAACTATATTAACTATCTTAACTACGCTAACTACGCCTATTTCGCTTATTATATTACCATCGATTTTTTACGGTTTAACTATTTAAAATATTATTATCCTTTTTATACTTACTAAATCCCGTAATAAAAAGCTTATAAAAGACTAAAAAATCGAGATCCGTACTTTTTATAAATATTTAAAATAATTATATAAAGATATAACTAAAACTACCTTTTATACCTATCGCTTAGTTTAATTAGCTTATACGGATTTTTTATCGGTTACGTTATAGAAAAATAAGTAGTAAAAAGGGTTAATTCGAACGTTTTAAAAAAAACGCTTTTAAAAATAACTCTTAATTAATAAGGCTTATAAAAGGATTTTTTAAATAGATCTATATTTTTTTTATTACCCGATCTATTAATCTTTAAGGAGGCTTTTATTATTACTATTTTATACTTATTAAGCTTCTGTTAAGCTATTTAATTATATTAAATCTATTGGACCGAGGCTAATAAGTATTAATAAATAGCTTTTATTTATATATACCTCCGGTGTTACGACCCAACACGCATTGCTAGACCAGGGCCCTGCCCCACAGGACCTGCGGCGGCTACTACACCATATATGCAGCAGTGAGAACTCAGACGGCCTCCCTTGGGACGGAAGAACTATGGATAAGTTATATGACTACGATCGCACGATAAGATAAAGAACGGACGCCTGCGAATAAGTGGGACGAGCGATTGTAGAAATATAGGACGGACGACCGCTCGGTAAACGGTCGGATAATAATGAACAAGATATTATAAAGGATATATTCACGATCAGGACTTATATATAGGATGGCCTGAGCTGGGCTCGAGGACAGACTTCCATAGCTTCTTTAGTAATCAATTCTTATACTAGATCTAACGATCGCTTTTAGCTATTTTTACTGAGAACCTTATTAATAAGACTACGACTAATTACCGAAGCCTTTTTACTTAACGACTTATAGATAATAGCTTTTTTAAAGCTATTCTAACGACGACTATTATTTACGAGTATCGCAGCCCCGACTTCTGTTAACATAAACCTTATTACGACTAGCCGATCGTAATATCTGGCTTTAACTATAGTTAAAAGATTAAAAAAATATAATTCTTTTAAATAAAACCTAGGCTATTTATAACTTTATATAAAAGAAATAAATTACGGTATATAATATAAAAAACTTAACCTTTTTTGCTTTTTTATAATATAAACTTTATAATTAGATATTTTAAAAGGCTTTTATTAATAATAAAAAAGGCTTAGGTTTTTTTTAAAAAAAAGAATAAAAAAGAATCGATATTTCGAAATACGTTTTTTATATATTCTTAATAATTATCGTTTTTTTTCTAAAAGTATTATTTAAACTTATTTTAATATGATAATACCTTAGCTTATAAGATAAGAGATATACGTTTTACTTTAGAGTTATTTAGGGTATTAATATTAGATTAATTAATAAATAGTCTTAACCTTAATTTAATAAAAAATATATAGTTTTAAATAAAAGATTAGGTTAAAATATATTTTAATATATAATCTTTTAAAAAAGAGGAATTAAAAGTAGCTATATCGGTAGCGTAGGAAATAATATTTAAAAATTAATTAAAAAAGCTAGCTTATATAATGCCGTAGCGACTAAGGCTCGTAATTAAACAAAATAGTAAGAGTATTAAGTACTAATTTACTTATATAATTTATTATTAATTAAAAGTATAGTTATTTTATAAGGTTGGCTCCGATTACGGTAAAGTCCGCCCCGTAAGTACCGCACTAACGTATGAAACCCCGGGACGTTGTAAGCGCACAAATGCTGCTGCTTTGAATAATACTCCGCCGGATCCCGTGTGATTTTACGTATGCCGAGGAGCAATTTTGTAGCAAATGCCCCTGCTTCCGACCGATTTTCCATTGCTGTTTGTATGCAGCACAGCGTTCACCTATGTTCAGATTGAATATGACAGGGCCAGACATAGACGGAGTCTGGAATGACCGGCTGTCGAATCCACAATGGAGATTTCAGAGGGGGGATGACGCCGGCATGAAATCAAGAGATTGATAAGTAGGGCCCGAGGTCGCTAGGCTTGCCAACTCCTACATGGTTCCTAAATGCCTGCCACCAGATACGGTATGTTCCTGTGGATCCAGTGGATTTGCTCGCGCAATGTGGAGTTGATGAAACCTGGCGCCTTAGTATTTGCGTAACCTTGAAGGAGTGGAGGTGCCACTGTTACTGATATGTGATATGATATTGCAACTCCGGTACTTGCCAGTGTACCATTATAGATTCCGGACCTGATAGCACATCCAAAAATTGCCAGCGCTTGCATTCACAGTTTTAATGGGATCTGCTGCTCCGTCCAGCAAGCTGTGTTATTCATGTGCACCGGATTCATCGCGGCCCCCGAAGCCTTCGATAGCTGACACGCTACCGAGAAGAAGATATTGAGAAGATCATTCCCGAGGCTATACGGTTTTCCAAGACCATAAAAAGGACGGGCCGGCATCACTGTCTATGATCTCTATAGCCTTATCTGCCACACAACTACCAAGCTATTTTGTCATCATTATTTACCATTCACAATGTCTTCGTCTATTGCCCTGAAGTACGCCGAGGAAGTCAAAAAGCGCCTTGACCCTAATGTGTCTCGAGAGTATGTCAACCTTTCCTCTAAGGTCTTTCCGCGCCTGGTCGCGGATCCCTTTATCGACCACGAAGCATTGGCGGAGGAAGAGCCCGCCCTGCATGACCAGGACCATATCAAGTTCCTCATCATTGGCGGCGGCCACAACGGACTGCTTTATGCATACCGCTTGATCGAGGCTGGTTTTAAGTCCGATGAGATTCGCATCGTCGACACGGCCGGCGGATTTGGGGGAACTTGGTACTGGAATCGGTATCCCGGCATTATGTGTGACGTCGAGAGCTACGTCTACATTCCGCTGCTGGAGGAAACCGGTTATATGCCGAAGCTGAAGTATTCCCACGGGTCGGAAATCCGCGGTCAGTCGGAACGAATTGCGGCGAAGTGGAACCTGCGCGGCCTCTTCAGCACGAAAGTCGACGGCCTGAAGTGGGACGAAGAGACTGGCGAGTGGGATGTCGAGATGACCCACAACAAAGGGCTCGAGCACGGAGACGAAAAGCTAACTGTTCGAGCTCAATTTGTTTTCTCTGCCGGAGGAGTCTTCTACACGCCCCACATACCAAAGTTGCCCGGATTTGACCAGTTCATGAGCCGGAAACAAGTCTTTCATACGTCTCGGTGGGATTATGATGTCACTGGCGGCTCGCAAGATGATCCCTCGTTGGTCAAGCTTAAGGACAAAGTAGTGGGAATCATTGGAACTGGCGCGACTGCTGTGCAGGTGATCCCGCACCTCGCGCGCTGGGCGAAGCATCTATACGTCTTTCAGCGAACCGCGTCTTACTGCAGTCCCCGGAAACAAAAGGAAACCACCGAGGAAACGTGGCTCCAAGTCGCAAACGGGAGAGGTTGGCAGTACAAACGACAACAAAATTTCAACAGCTTCGTATCCGACGAGCCGGCTCCCGTGGATTTGGTAAATGATGGCTGGACCGACCATCGCGCATTCTGTGGTCTTGTGGGAGGTACCAACTTGATCACGCCTGATACTGTCGAGGATCACGTGGCACGGATGTTCAAAATGGACGAGGAGCGTGCCAACCGCGCGCGAGCCCGGATCGACGAGGAAGTAAAGGACTCGGACACGGCTCAAGCATTGAAGCCTTGGTATGGTGGATGGTGCAAGCGTCCCACATTTCACGACGACTTTCTCGGAACGTTTAACCTTCCCAACGTCACCCTAGTTGACACTGACGGCAAAGGCGTGCACCATTTTACGGATTCTGGGGTATTCGTGAATGGCGCAGATATACCACTCGACATCATGGTCATGGCCACCGGATTCGCCACCGGAACGAAAAATACAGGTTTGGGCTCCCCTGCGGAGCGCCTTGGCGCTCGAGTCATCGGCCGTGGTGATGCATCTCTTGACGAGAAATGGGCCGGGTCGGAGCACGCGACTTTTTATTCGTTAAGCTACCATGGATTTCCCAATTTCTTCTCTTACGGTGGCCCGGGTGGTCCAAGTTCCCCAAATCTCACCTCAGCCTTCGACATAGTTGCGAAATTGGCAGCGCATATCATCGCAAAGGGATGCCGTGATACTCCTTCGTCTTCTAAACTCGTGCTCGAGGCCACTCGGGAGGCAGAGAAAGAGTACACCGCAGAATCCAAAGGTCGAGCACTATGGTTTGCCCCGCTGGATTTCTGCACTCCAGGGTACTTTACCGGAAATGCGCCGGGCAAAGCGGCTTCGGATGAGGAACAGCGTCGAAAAGCTGGATACGCAGCTTGGGGAGGTGGAGTGCTGGATTTCCAGCGAGAGGTGGACAAGTACATAAAGAAGGGGGTTCTAGAAGGCATTGACGTAAGAACTTGAAAAACGTGAGTCAAAAAGGTGGTCTTACCCGGGAATCTTAAATAGGAGTTCCGCATTCCGCGTAACAAGTACAATAGATGTCCCTTACTTTCACTTGACAAATTTTAAATATGCCGGATCTGGAGAGAAGCCCTGGATTAATACTTCTCTGAGCCCTACTATCGGATCTCATTACAATTCTAGCGTCCTAAGACCATAATTACTTAACATAAAGCTATATTATGTGACCGGCCTAGTTTAGAGCCAGATGATCCCTAACTTAATACACAAATAAAATTAAAAAACATATTTTATAAAATAAATATAAGCCGTAAACATAAAAATGTAAAAATTATAAAAATTATATAGAATAAAATTAATTAAAATTATTTAAAATAATTTATATAAAAACGAAATACATTTATTTATTTGAAATGATTTATAACGCTTGTAAATTTCTTTGGTTTCATTATTATTATTAAAAAAATCATTTTAGTTCTATAATAAATACCGGCTTAATAAATTATAAGACCCCTTACGTAAAGACGAGTTTGGGCCGGGATTCGGGCCTCGGGCCCGGGGCCGTCTTCCTTCTTTCAGTGACCACACCAGCTTTAAGATTCGCTATAGTGTAAAAGTCGATACGTGCACCTCTCTTTTCTAGCAATTCCCCATTCCTCTGACACCCCTCTTCTCCTCTATACTTCTGATCTTATCCTCTCACTTTTCCTTCTTCTCCCCATCCTTTACCAATAGCCACCTCTGGTTACATGCCGTGAGTCCTTTAGCATGATATGTTCCTTCGCCAGACGCCCCTCCATTCACATATCTCGAGAAGTGATATATCATGCTCATCCATAGCTGATTTTACCCGTCATGTTCGCCATTTGAGCTTAATTAAGGTGAAAGCACTATTCACTTACATCACAAACATTCTCGACTTACTCTTGTGTATGGCATCAGCATCATCTCAGGATAAACAAACAAATCCACATTGCCTTTCCTTCGTGCTGCCTTGTTCAAGGCCGTCTGTGATGTGTTGCTATCTACCGTTGTTAATTAAAAGGGACGAAGCACCTGTGATCAGCGCATCGCGACAAACTACCGCTGTACTCTGAGTTCTAGAGTTCTATTCAGTTCCCATGCTAGACAGATCACTGATGTCCGTGGGTGTAGCTGTTGAGAGTCTTCGTTACTTAAAATTGGGGTAGAAGCATTTGCTGATGTGTGATCCCTTGGAGAGTGGCGACCTGCATCAACCCGGATGAAAGGAGGGTTCAGAACAGGTTCAGAACAGGCGAGTTTTCTATGAAGAAGGTTCGCTTCGAAATGTGCGGCTGAAGTCGTACATTCTCTTCGTTCAAGAAGCAAGTTCAAAGTGCATGCTAGTCTCAGGTGGAGAATTTTATGTTTCCACCTGGAATCACTTTTCCGGAATGACATCGATTGTCTCAGCATGTAGCCCGCGGCTCCAGAACTTAAGTACGTCGCGGGTGTACTGCAATTCTGGAACGACCTTAGCTCAGGAAATAGAAACGAGTCAGAATTCCAGAATTGCGGGCATTGCGGGAAAAACTTTAATTTTGGAATAAGATAGTTCTAGAATACCTATAGCTTCGACGAAAAGAAAATCATGCCATAATTCTGGCAAAAAGGTACAGAGCGCTTATGCTATCATTCTAGAATCTCATAGTTCTAGAATACATATAACTTCGGCAAAACAGATTCACGTTACGATTCTGGAATGAAACTATCCGACGGATGTGCCATCATTCTGGAACGACGCCATTTTTGAGAAAGCAGAAATGTGTCACTATTCTCTAATCTGTAATGGAGCTACTTGACGGAAGTACTTTAATTCTGAAATACCCAATGTGGAAAAACAGAAATTTGTCACTGTAACGGGGCCATTCTAGAAGGACTGCGTAATAGAGAAAGTTAGAAGCCGTCACCATTCTGGAACGGAGGCAGATAGTGAAAATGTGAAATTCTGTGATATCTGTCCCTCTCTTTCAAATTAAATCTCCTCACTTAGGGAACTTGTCCACAGGCATATATCGAAAGGGTTGGGGTTGGGGGGTGGGCACAGGGACGAAATGCTGAGGCAAATCGAGTAGCTATATTCGCATCGACGTAATTGTCCTTAGCCGCCTGCTGTTTACAGATTTTGCAAATGCAGAAATATCCACATAAACCCTGAAAATAGATATGGTGGTATGTTTGGTCTTCCTTGCAGTGGCCCCTTGACTTTGGGCGATGTCGGAGTTTCCCAAGCCAAGGCCGCTGCCTTCCCATTAAGTTCTTCCCTTTGCTTGCTCTCTAGACAAGAGTGAGCTGAAACATTACCGCTGCCTGCAAACGAAACGTAACTGATGCGGATCCACGTCTGTTGCACTTGTGGTTACTGATTAGTTAATTTAGCGGAAACGATCCCCACGAATGGAGGTGAAGTATGTGATGTGTATGAAGCTGGCTAAAGTGGCCTGACAGGCCAGAGACTGGAAGGAGGGCCTGGGCGGCACTGGGTACACAGAGCGTCTGTGGGCAGGTGCAGCCACAGTTACTCTTGTGCGATGCAAACCTCCCTCGAACTATTACGTGTAAATTTTGTTACTAATTCTGGTTTCCCCGTCAGCTGGATCGACAGCAAGTGTAACTCCAAGTATGGTTCTAATCTATGGAAGTTTATCGACCCTGTTGGAGCAAGGCTATTGGCTCATCCTGTCACATGTCGGTTAGGTAAGAGCTTGGGATTTGTGCCTTTTGGCCCGCTGGCTCAACGACGGTCACCCCAAGCACTTTCCTTTTGCCACATACGCTATGCTCCTACGTATCGTTCGAAAAATTTAAGGCGTCATCGGAAGACGTGATGAAATGACATAGGATGAGAGTAATAACGGTTGACTGAGAGAAACGATACTGGGTTGGGCTACAGCAGCAGTCTCTTTTCTTCACAGTTGGTGCGTCTACGTAGGGTCATCTCGGAATGATGATACTGATAGGCGAAGGGTGCATATCAAAGGAATCCAGGAAAAGAGACGGGGAATAATTGATGGGGATGGGAGCATCGAAAACATATCCGCAAAAGTTACTGCGTCAAGAGAAAAGACAAACAGGGTAAGCGGTAGGAAGTAGGAAAAGTGAGGAGAGGGACGAGAAGCTATGAGTAAGGTAGACAGCTAGAACAGAGAAGAAAAGACCGGGGATGAGGAACGAAGGTAGAGAATCAAAGTACAGGAGAGACGAGACAAGGGAATTATGACGAGACGCGCCAGACTGATCAGTGACAAGGTGCGCTCAAATATCTGCTGTTGAAAGGAAGGACGAAAAGAGCAAGCGGCAGGGACGAAATAAAGGACGAGGGGCAGAACAACGACGGGGTGCGCTCAAATGGACTGGGGGCGGGGGGTGTCTGTTGCTGGTACGCTTGAAATAGAGAAAACGAAGAGAGTTGAAGGGGAGTGGAGAGCGTAGAGGAGCAGAGAGGCGAACAGAGGCGAGCTAACCAACCTTTGCCATAAATACAGCAAGGCTGCGGAACGAGGAAACCTTCCAGGGCTTCATTATCAATGACGGAGAGCACATAGAGCAGCCCGATCGATGAATCGACGACGGGCATATCAATCTCTTATATACTAGGTAACAGCATTTACGTACCGGCTTAAGGGGCGCAATACCTTGCGTCCCATTTATACGCTTGCCTCGCGTAGCTGTGACATCAACTTCATCGACATAGACGGCTACGTAATAGAGAACCAGAAAATCCGTATCTCAAAACGAAATTTCGCATTCAGCAAAATTCCCCATGTATAATCAAGGGCCAATTGTAGCTTGCGAATCTCATAAGCGTCAGGGCACATCGCTACAGGATCACAGATCCGGAGCTTCGTTGCAAGGCCGTATTCGCGCATCGAAGCGACGCGGGACTACCTCATAACATAAACAGGTCGTGACCGCAGCCGCACTAGCCGGCATAACTGACGAACATCTTCTCGAGGCAGAAGAATCGGTCTGCAATGCTGTGTAGGAGATTAAGCACGATGGAAAGGAAGTGCTAAGATGTACTTAGGTAAGACAGATTTGTTACAGGTCGGGATTGCTTGTAAGGTTGTATGGCCGCCGGCCTGAAAAGCAATACTAAATAAGGCGCTTATGGGAAGCGTAGATTACAGGAGAAGTCGAGCAATGAGCAATATCTGGACCATTCGTATTATAATTTAATCACCATCTCCGTTAATATTTTCCAAACCTCCAAGGTACTCTCTTTAGAGCAAAACGTCCAGCTCTCATCAAGGGCATTGTTATTATCTGGCCCTGGGGATATTTTCGCCTTTATTATACGGCGTAGTAAGGCATTTTCTCTCCTTTATTTAAAAATAGTAAATGCGACGGACGCCACACCGGCACACCTCTTAGCTGGATTAATCCCCAACCGATAATACCTAAGCGCGTGCTAAGAGCTGTTTATATACTTAATAATAAGTCCTTGACAAAAGTCTGTCTACCGGTCACGAAATACCTAAATGTATATAACGTTGTCTATTAAAGTTGATGAGTAAGTGGCACCGGGCAGAGGAGAAGGGCCCGCCGGTATAGAGGGAGAAAGATTAGAGCACCTTAGACCCTTCGTAAGCATCCTTAATACGGATATAGGGTTGTGCCTTGGAATGGCGTATACTAGAGTTGACGGCGGAGGAGTGTCTGAGGTAAACGTTTTTTATATCCCCTTGTAGGAGGGGCTTATAGTAAAGTCTCCCTTATAGAGCGATCGAAGTTTTTAATTATTAGCTGTGTTTTTCTCTAGATAGCCGGGCTATGATTAATAATGTACGAGCGTTCGCTTAAGTAAAGCCGGCCTTTAGAATCGGCCTTGATTCGAAATCTAAACGTTGATATCTTGTCTTTTATTGGATTTAAAACTTAACCCTATTAGATAATAGGTTGGATTGTGGGAAGAAGCTTTGTAAAAGTTACCTCGGCGGAGAGTGTAGTTTTAGTATAAATATGGACTCTATGTAGGCTACTTTTAGTAAGAAAAAATGTAATCCTTAAATAGGACGATAGGTAGATAGTTGTAAGGTGGTTTTTAAATATATTAGCGGGGAAGCGAATTTACAATAAGTCTAGAAGTCTCGGTATATTTAGAATTTAAAGCGTTGTTAGTCTGCGAATGGTTTTAAATCGGCTAATTCCGAATTACGGAGGGTTACGTTAAGTAATATATATAATGTTAGAAAAATATAGGTCTTATTAGTATGAAAGTTGATAGTTAGGTTTTGACTAGCCTAAGCTGTTAAGTAGACTATGAATTATGACCGAGATCTCCGCAACCCTTCTTTAGAGACTATAAGCCGCTTAATATACGCGATATTATTTAAGTTAATTATTAATTCTATACGGGAATCTAGAGGAGGCGTGCTTAGTTATAAATAAATATCGCGTCGTTAAAACTATATTATTTAAAAGGGGGCTAGAATTAGTTAATTAAAGTCTGTGAGAGAAAGAGAGCTAATAGTCATAAAGATAGTGGAAAACCGTAATAAATAGTGATGTCTTAAAAAGCTTTACATAATGGTTTTGACCTCGCTTATGAGCTTAGCGAGCCGCTTTGGATTATATATGTCGGCCGTGAGACGGCTAGCGTAGCCTATTTTAGGCTTTAAAAAAAGTAAAAGAGCCACGCTTCTGGCCTATAGATATCGTGCGAGTAAATAAACTTAGAGTCGATATATTTTATTTAGGCTTTTAACGTTTTTTATGTAAAGATTAAAATAATCCGTATAAAGCGTAGCGGTCTTGCTATCTGCCGCGCATTTATTATATTTAGGAAACCGATAAAAAAGGAAATTTTGTTAAAAATATTTATAAATTAATAAAGGAAATTCTATAGTATCGTGAGCTTTATAATAAAATATTAAAGTTTTATTATAAAGGATTTTAAAAGCGTATATCATATTAATTAAATAAGTTTTTAAAAAAGATAAGGATAAAGCGCTTTAATAAATAATAAAGCGATTTTTAATAGCGAATAAAAATCCGTAAGCGTTATATTAATAATAAATATATAAATATTAAAATTTGTAATGTTCTACGTACCGAGATATTATATCCTAATGACGGTTCGGAGATGCTAGGCTTATATAACTTAATAATCTATATAAAGTTATATGAAAGCGTAAATAGGAGAAGATTTAAGTTATTTAAGCTGAAATTAATAAATAGGGAAGTCTATTTTTTTAATTTTTTTTTAGGGGCCTGGGAGCTATAAGGTGTAGGTAAAAAAAGATCTAATTAGCTCCCGGTTTAACTAAAATACTGTTGTCTATGTAGTTAGCGAAGGATACGTATTTAGCGTGGCTTTATATAGATATAAATACTAGATTTAATGGCCTAGAGAACTTCAGGTTTTAATGGCTATAATACTACGTCGTCCTGCTTAAGGATATCGACGCGGTTAGCATTATAATTTAAAATACCGACGTAGATAAGACTTACTCTAGATTAGAAATATCGAGGAGCTTATCCGAGCTACCGGGAGATTTTTCCTTTTTATATAGATGTTTTTTATTGCCGCGGGGCCTCCTCTCCCGCTGGGATCATTTCCCCACCGCGGCCGGCGCCGGCGCTATCCCTGGGTCTCGGAGAGGCCGTTTCCCGTTTCCACCAGACTCATTCGACCCTTCGTCGTTCGGCGTTACCGCCAGCCGCCGAGCCGTTGCTGGCCGTCGTCTTCGTCAACACGCGCGGCGCGCAGACGTACTCCGTCTCCCTCTTCCTTCTCATTCGTCGAGCGAACCACCATAGGTCTTGGCCTTGTGTACAGTCCGGTCAATGGACCTCAGTGCTGGATTATGCGGCGGCCATGGGCGGCTCAGAGTGCCACCAGCTCGATTTCGACGGCATCTATAGCCACCAGTTCTACCGAGGCGCGCAAGATGCTATAGACAGTAGGCCGTGGAGGATCGAGTCGCATGTGAATCCCGCCCGTTCTATCCATGTCGTTGTCGCCGTAGCATAGCCCTTGGCGCCCATGCTGGGCAACGATCGTGTTGACCGCGAAATCTCGGTTCCCGTCTGTCTACTAGGCGGATAGAGCGGCGGGTTCGACAAGCTTCGACGTCTCTGGCAATGACCGCAGTCATGCCTCACACGTCTCATTCGTGTTCATCTAACTAAGAGCTAGACACGGACTTGTTCTAGTCGAAATAAAGAGATAGTGGAGAGAAAGCTAAGGGAAAGTTCAGAAGAGCAGACCGGGGTAGAGTAGTTACGGGTCTCTGGTCAGATTTACGCCCTAAGCTCGGGGTTCCCAAGATGACAAGTCCGGCAGACCGCGCACCATCGACCAACCGCCCGTACCTCTAATACGCCTCCCCGTCGTCTCGGTGCTGCCGTTGAGAAGTCCTCCACTTGGCCTCAAAGGCATATACGAACTCCGTCGTTATGCTAAGCAGACAAGAGATACGCACGGACAATAAATCGCTGTCCAATGCGACCTCCATAGCAGTACCTTGAGGCCGAAGTAAAGGTGAGACCTAGCTAGCTAGGTGTTACACAGCCTCTCCACGCGGACGACCTCAGCACTCGTCCACGTCCTCACTCTCACCTGCGAGTCTGCCTCAGCGGTAGCGTCTATACGCTGGGAAAATGGCGGGAAGGGGAGGCTAGGCCCAAAGCTCTTGGTCATCCTACCGTCGTCAGCAGCTGCGATGCAGACGGCGGCGGTGGACACTATCACCTAAAGCTTCATAGATTACTAATGGTGTTCCTAACCTCTCCCTGCACCGGATGAGTCTTTTTGAACGTGTGCGGTCCGTCGGTGTCCTGGAGACATAAGAGCGAGGCGACCTAACTTCCGACCGACGGACCGACGCGAGTCTTGGGGAGAACATGGACCGTCCGCAGTTCCACGTCTCGCAGGACGGGGTAGATAGCTGATGTTGAAGGGCCTGTGATACCTAGCGTAATGTAAGTCTGTCGAGCAACAGACTCCCTGTGCGGGCGGGCCGGGACTACTTGGCAGACCTATCTGAGTTATGGTGTTGTAACGTTTCGAAGGACGTTTCGGGACTTAGCTCTGCCTCGTCCAAACATGTGGCCCTAGCCGTACACAAGTCAGTAACAGCGGGCGTTCTGCCAAAGCTCCACTCGCGTTCTCGGATGGAAGAGGCCTTGTGCTCTACCGTAAACCTGGACAGCGTTGATCTCAGCCGTCCGGACCATGTTCAACGGCAATCGACAGTCACCTGGACTAGAGCTTAGCTCAAGGCGAATCAAGGCGATGAAACTGGAAAGATGTTGGAGACGACCAAATCGACATTTAGTTCTTCACGCGGACAGCCGGCTTTGAGTCAAGTAATTTCCACGAACCGCGCCCGCCCGATGTTCCGCTTTGGAACGGTGGGATTCGGTCAAGGTTGAACGCCCTGCGCCTTCGACTTCGGATGTTGCTAGATGCGACGAGACCACCGGACGGAGGTGCTGTACAGAGACGCTATACAGGACAAGGCGCAGGGCACCCCCAACACGCGTGTCCGCGTAGTAGCATCTTGCGATGCACAAGCGTCGGTTTTCGGCGAAGGCGAAGCCAGCCAAGCCGCACTCCATGATGACCCGCGACGAACGGAACACCAACTGGTCCAAGCTGGAACGCCATGCAATCTGCCGGAATTGTTAGCAAACATCAGCAAGATGGCAGATATCATATAGTGTCGTCGGGGACTAGCGTGTTGCCTACACCGTAGATTCCGTGCTTGACAGAGCGGCCCCAGATCTCGGGCAAATGCTCGCTGATTACTGCCGAGAGTATTCAAATGAAGTTGTGGATATCATTAAAGACCGCAAGAAATGGAAGCTTGCCGACCCGTTTGCTGACCGCCGCTCTGCTTCCTCGTGACCCTCATTGTCCAGGCTGTTTCCTCCTTCTTGTGGCGACGCTCCAGCGGAGGATAGGCCAGCATTGTCCAGTAGCGGTGTGAATAAATAGAACATCCACTGACGTACGAGCAACGAATGCCATGTCCTCATCGAAGAGATTGAGAAGAGAGAGAGAGAGAGAGACAGAGAGAGACGTACTACAACCAGGCGCCTGATGCAAGCATCGCCAAGACTTGAAAAGGGGCTACTGGAAGCCCCTCCTCACCTCTGCTTGTGCCGTCTTCGCCAACGCCGATGCCGTAAAGGCCATCTTGTCGTCCGGGTCGACCTACCTTTCCTGCTATGGGCCCTCATTTCATGTCAATCAAGAGAAGCTTGACCCGTTGGATCAAACTCCACCGAACTACAGGTCAGAAGTCAAGGAACCCTCCGTTCAACAGAACGCGGTTTGAGGGCTGACCGTACCTAGTATAAAATCCTCAGGTCGCCGTGTCACCTCCGCGGGGTGTGGATATAGGTTTCCAAAACATCACGTTTCACTCTTCTCGATCTCTCGCCACCTCCTGCAATAGGCCCGCACTCATCCTGTTCCTCGGCTTCACCTAATCAGCCAAGATGTTCCGACAGCGCCCGCTCCTCCTATTCTTTTTGGGGGCCCAGTTGTGGAATCTTCTATGTCACGGAGCGCCTACTACGGTATCATACGTCTACCGTGGCGATAAAAGATCGCCCGGAGAGATCAAACGACTTGGAGGGTTTCTCCCGAAGGGCCAGACCAGCTTCGGACTTCAAACTACGGACATTAGCCTCTTCAATCACATGAAAGGCACCCGTGACATCAAGAGCCGAGACGAAGACGGATACGTCTCTACTAGTACCAGCGAGAGGGTGGCAGCGACCTTCGTTTACGGGAAGGCTTCGGCCTTCGTTTATAAGATCCACGTCACCCCAAATATGATCGACATTGTTAGCACCCTTGGGAAATATGGCGACTTTGACGAGGAACTCGAGTTCGCGGCGTTGGGAGGCATCAAGTATGAACAGATAGTCTCCTGGGGGCCATTGAAAGGCTTTAATCTCGGCAAGTCGACGATGAACAAGGACTTTGACAAAAGAAAGTACGGCTCGGCGGTCGCCGGTGGTGTGCAATATCAGCTGGCTGGTTTCCCTCCAAACCACCAGGCTTGGCGTGAAGAGCCCTGGAAGAGTCATAAGCCTAGTCAGGCCCTCGGACAAGGCGCTTCGAGCTGATTCATACGAAGCACCCTTCGATTAGCAGCTCACGTTCGAGTGCCCCTATCAGTACGGGGTTCTCTGAAAAACATATTACTGCCATTACACGGACCTCCGTGGATCCTCAGGAAGTCAAGACCATCACTCTAGAGAAGCCTCTTCTGGAAGAAGCACCCATTCATAAGGCGTCTGTAAACGAAATGAAGCCTTGACAAGAAGGCTTATTATGTCAACCAAGCACCGGACAAAGATTGTGGAAAAGACGCGCCTATGATTTGATGATTTAGGAGATTTGTCGTTAACTTCAATAGCAAAGTGGATTAGCATGAGCGATAGAGGGGTATAAAGCTTAGTGCAGGTCTTCAAAGGCGAAGGCAATTAGTCATAAACTCAAAAAGGTGATTCGGAGTGAAGCTGAGCCGAAACTATTCAGAGAATGTTTATAAAGTGTACTGTAATAGAGCTATGGAGATCTGACCTTGAGCGAGGCTCGGCCCGTGGTATATATATATCCTGAACATTACCTTCGTCCACCTTCCGGCTCCTGATAGGCTCACGGGTACCCGTGAAAATGACTAAGCAAACTGGCGGCACGGGTCGACGAACGCGTCTATGATTCTCCTAACTGCAATATTTGTAATCACTTCCAGGCAGACGATCACCCACAGGTTCAGGCGGATTGTGCGATCAAGTAAGGTGCTAATGCAGTGCTCTTGTGCCGCAACCAATCAAAGACCACGCGTTACCGCCGATGGAGTGGTTGTTTTTATCCGGGAGCTTGGGGGCGAGGCTGGATTGACAAATGTGATGGACATATCCAGGTGCAACAACGGCAGTCACGACGGGTGGTTCTACTACCGTCAGACAAGAGACAGAGGTCGAGGTTGCCCCGCTAAGAATCTAGTCTGTTGAAATATTCATGAATGCTGACCTCTCGCTATCTCAAAGCGATCCCTGCCACAACGCTTTCACAACTGTGTAACGATATAGCCGTCACGCGCGGGTCAGGGCAACCAAGCGCACCTCAACACAAAAGGTTTAGCAACGATGCCTCCGGCACTATTCTCCCCTAATCTGCACGATATAGCTACGCACCCACAAGGACCAACTGTAGCGGGCTAACAATAACCTCCTTTCTTAAGATAGACAACGACAGAAGAGTTCTAATAGGGTGGTTAAAGTTTCTAGACGTGAAGGCATCGTCAAGTACGAGTTATCAGACCGCGATACAGGTAATATCAAGAAGATTTCAATGACCAATACCACCCCCATCCCGAATGCTCTCCCCCTTGTCGCCGGACGTTTCATGTCAAAACCGCCCTACTTCCGTTTAGGCGGAATGGCCGTGACGTCTAGGGCGAAGAATGAACAGTTTCGGGCGTTCCTGATCTCATCTTCATCCGCAAGTGTTGACGTACTACCAGACCATCTCGTGCAGGCCTTCGATGTTGTCCCAGTATTGTCCAAAGCCACCATGGCTCCGTTTGCCAAGATCTTCGCGTGCTCAATCGATTTCTCAATATCTTCGAGTTACGATAATAAGCATGGCCAGTCGCTTCCTTCAGTCAGAGACACCCAGGACGTCAGCGCTCGCTTATCATGAGAGGCGAGACGGCCGCGTTCAGGAGAAGTTCACACGGCAAAGGCGTGCGAGTATTTCAACGCAACGAGGAAGATAGTAATAGCCGTCTACATATTAAAGAAAGTGTCAGGACTTCTTGTGAAGTGAGTGGTAGATATCAATGCCTAGGTAAAAGGAAATAAAGCAAATAATACGGTCGGTCCTAACCCGGAAACGACGTGTTCAACTGCGCGCTCTATGGATTGCATTCAAGTCGCTCAGCATGATGAGCAATGGCCGTGGGTAAGAAACTCTCCCTTGTATACGGTGAAGCCGACACATTGTTACATGCCTTCGGTTTATACAGGGTTGGTGTTAGTGACCCCATCGACGCGCTTTTACAGCTTCTACTCTATTATTAAAATACATTCAGTTTAGTGTCTCAGTTCAGCTTAAAAGGCTCAAGTGTGTCCAACTCGCGCAGGCCACATTGTTCCTGCGGCCTATCTAGTGCGATCGACTGAACGCGGCTCTGCTGGGTGCGATTCACCTTTTTGCAAGGGTTCCATCATGAAGAAGCAGGGAGTAGTAGCGCATGCGTTATACCTTCGGAGAACAGACACTAGCTGAATATAGAAAGCAGATAACACCTGTTAGTTACCCGATGTCGCATATAATCACATACGAAGTCCTTATTCGGGTCTTATACCACTTAGGCGCGGTGATAGCAACGTACCTAGACATAAAGGCAAGACCGGGCCCTCGGGCATAGCGAACCGGTTATCAACCCAAGGGAAATCATCGTCATTCTCATTCTCAAAGACAGCCCGAGTCACACGCCCGCCTTTACAGAGCTCGGCCCAACGCACTCACGTCTTTCATCACCCAACGCCAAGGGCTATAGATTTTAAATTCCCTATTTTTAGAAAATCATTCGCGTCGCGACCTTAGCTTTAACAAGCACTAGCGCACATGCACACTACGTAAACGCCCTATCACGCACCTCGTCCTCTCTAGGAGCTATTATTACGAGTTATTAGGCGAACCTAACTCTAGCACAAAGAAAAAGCCCTAGGAACAATACCTTTAGGACCTTTAGCCCCTATTCTATACTATACAATTCCGCTAGTCGAAGCAGCTTGCTAGCAGCTTCGGCCGGCCCGGCCAGTTCGATAGGCAGGGGAGCAAGATACTACTATACGAGACCGATAATATCTGCACCATTTGCTAGATGGAGAACTATACCGGATGACTGAATGGTTTTGCTTGCAGAGTGCTTTCGCCGGGCTTAATAATGTCGGCCTTCTCGGCCAGGTCCTGTTTTAATAACTCATAAGCCACGACAGAGCACGCGCCAGATCGTGGCCAGTTCCGGTATATAGAAAGTTTTTAGATATATAGTGACTGATATTAAAAGCTCCGTAATCCCGCCCTGTGAACACGGCGTTACCAAGAAAGACTGCTCGTATCGGGCCAAGCTCGGCTCTCCGCACTGCGGTGTTGGACAATAGTATCCGTGTGTTCGGTCGAATATTTGGATAACGCCCGCTTCTTCTCTTTTTTTTAGGGGGCCCGCTTATAGTACCTTCTCTTTCATGGAGCCCTAACGACGGTCATAAGATCCACCCGAGAGATCGAACGGCTTAATTGGCATACTCACCCGACGGCCCTGAGGAGTATCTTAAGGGCATTTATTGCTGAAAGTGATCTTTAAGCCACCGTAGCCTGCGAGGATTTGTGAAATTGTGCGTGCCTGACATCTCCGGCCTCGGCTTTTCCTGTCAACTTATTGCCGGTAATGTGGATAAGCAAATTACGGGTCACAGACCACGGATCTGGACCAGCATTCTCCAGGCGGCCTCAGCGCCCAGACCGTCAAGCCGTACCGTCATGGTCAGGGTCAACACCCACAGAGCAATCGTTCGGGTCGGAGAGCGGGTTGAACCTATCTTTGTGCTATTATGCGAGTGGAGTGGCCCTCCTGGCAGCTATCGGTGCCTCCGAACCGTGCGGAGCTGGTCATTAAAGCTCGTCATTGAGGTCTACACGAAGGCTGCCTGCGGCCAAGCGAGCGTCTCGACCGGCGCGGAGAGAAAGGTGCCGGCAGGGAGCTCCCGTGATCACAGGTTGAGTACGATTGTGACGGGTCCGTCCGTCTGTTACCTGTAGCATTCACATCTCTCGACGTCCTCTCGGCTCTGCCACGCAGGACCCTTTCATTGTCTCAGGAATAGCCAACGAGAGGTTTCGGGCTCTCTGACAGGACACAGCTACTTATTGCGCCCGCTTTCCCTTATGCTGTCCGCTGACCTGTTGCCAAATCGTCTACTCTTCGGCACACCACGCGCTAGCTTTCTCGAACTACCGTCTCCAACCAGTCCTCTTTCAAATCGAGATGTGGTCTCCCGCACCTCGGGGCTGGGCGTTCAGCCTGTCCGGCCTCCTTATCCTCTTCGCTCTCTTCCAAAGTATCGCGGCTCAGGACCTCGGCCTCAGCCTTGACAAAGATGCCCGAGACGAAGCGCAGCTCATTGTTTACTCCTCCAAACTCACCTTCACCCAAGACACCGGAGCACTCTTTAGCAATGACGAACTCTATGGGCTTGCTAGTTTAGCTTATAGCCAAATGCAGACCAAGTTTGATGCTGATGGCATCAGGCCCCAGGAGCAGCCCGCCATGATGGCCGTCATGGCCGTCGAGAAGGACGTCTTTATCTCGTCTAGTTTGAAGGGAAATGGCCCTTCTCTGTACAGCTACGCGACTCAGCATTCCAAACCACGAGTCGTCGCGGCCCTTGACCGGTGCCAAGCCAGACTACAGAGTGAAAAGAAGGTCCCCGTCAACGAGCAGCATCGAACCGGGGCCGGCTGCGCGGAGATTTTCGCCCTCCACCAGGTAGGTCGTGCTCCTTCCGCTGCCAGGTCCTTCACATGGATCAAGGCGCCAATTGCCGACTCCTTCGTCTAACCCCTCCTGAGTACCATTTGGACAGCGATGCCTCGCCGCAAGCCCACAATCACCCGCCCTCCATCCGCGTTGTGGCCTACGGCAAAGGGGGCCAGACAGGCGTCGTAAGCCGTGAGTTGGTGCCTGTCCTGGTGCATGTTTCATAGGCGACGTCGTGCTGACGAGCTTGTCGAACAGCTCAAAACCCCTGCGGTGGCGGTGAAGTAATCAACGAAGCGGGTTCCCTAACGTGGGGGTGCAGGCAGTTCATGGCGGACGAAGGGATCACCGTGCCACGGAAGCCCGGCAAGAAAGTCATCGTGAGCTTGCCAAGGCCGTTCCCAACGTTCACGCACAAACAAATCAGCGTCGTGCCCCAAGCTCGCTTGCGGCCCACCCACAATGCGGCTCCGAGCCGAGAAACGCAAGTATCACGACCGGTCCATTGATGCTCCGCAGAGCATCCACCAAGCCAGTGGACGGATCGGCAGTGGTCTCGCGAAGCGGACCAGCATGCTGGTCGTAAAAACAACGAGTTGGCGAGCTGGGTCGTGCTGGGTCATATCGTCAGCAGCTGAAGCATGTGATGCGTTTGGGCTCCTCGGTCGAGATCTTTACCAGCTTGGTTTTCGGACGAAGGAAGGGCGACAGGTCGAACCGCGGGATGGAGATATCGAAGAAAGCAGGTAGCACAGAATGAAGACAAGCGGCGTACGAGCCGGCATCCACTCGGCTAAGAATACATGACTATTGACATTCATTCGGATGTGGCCCGCTTCCCCATGTGCGCGTCAGGATTTCCAAGCAAGCTTTTCCCCGTGAGATCATGACCTTTAGCAGCGGTTGGACGTTCGTAGGCCGGTCGATAACCGCCACGTTCGTGTCGTCTATCCCTAGTCGCCTAATCCTCGCGCCATGAGCGACGAGGATTTCAAGCCCAAGTTACCTCGTCGGTCCCCGGTCTCTGGCCTAAAGCGAGCGCCTAGCGTTAAGAGAGCGATAAGTAAACAGTGGAAGTCTATCGCACTAAGATAGAGCATATAATGCGAAGCTGGCTATCGAATACTCTTTTCTGGATATATATATTAATACTGTTAGTAAAGGATTTTATATTAACCAATGGCGGTGCTATAACTACTATTAACCTGCCGACTCCCGCCACGCCGAAGTGCCAATTGTTTATGTACGTACTTTACGGTCTCGACTCCATAATCACCCGTACACCAGAAGCCTCCCCAGCCGATGCCAGCCTGTCTCTCATCTCTTCGGCCCGTAAAGTCTCCCCATCCGTCTATATCTCTACTCTTAACTCCGTTAAGTTCGACGGTCGACCCTCTAGGTACTCCACGATCTTGGCCTTGAGCGAATGCCACCTTGGGACGCTCGGGCCGTCTGACTCCCACTCGAGATCGTCCTATCGCGAGTGCTACTAGAAGAACATCTTGTTAGTAATAGTGAGACGTTCGATGCTGGCTAGCAGTACGTCGGCGAGCCTCGGTAAGTTCTCCGTTTCTTAGCCAAGTAGTACAGGTAGAGAGATAGCGACGCGCTTCAGCCGCGAGAACCCCCGGAGTAGCGCGAGCCCACCTCGCGGTGGCGACGACGATAACGAGCTCACTAGACGCATATCCGATCGGCCCCTGTCCCATATAATAGACGCTGGAAGCGCTGGCAAGTTCTTAACTATTTCGGAGGTAAGTAATAGTCGGACGGGGTTAGGCGCACAGCTTAGAGAATGCTTCGTAGTCCGTGGTCGTTTACTAAAGTATACCCTAAGAGGTTGTAGTGACCGCTGCCCCATCGGCCATCCACTAATAAACGATACGTGTCCGCGTCTTTTTTAAGCGTTACTATCTGTGATTATACACTATACGCATGTGGACACATACGCGTAGAAGGAATCAGGTTAGAAAGAGAAGATCTCGGGGCGAAACGCGGCGCTGGTTAACATGCCAAACAAACTGACAAGAAACCGAAGCTTCTCTCGCGCCCCCAGTCGGCAGCATGCCGGGGCAGTCGGGGCAAACGAGACACGCTTCTGGCCCTTGATGGGCCCATCGGTTTACCTGGTACCGTCAGGGGCTGTGGCGCCATCGCGCCCCGCTTCGACCCATCTATGCAAAATGTGTCTGCGCAGATGGGGTCCAAAAATTAGGTGTATGATGGGTTGTATTGGGTAAACTACCTGACTGTCCGTTGGTTGTATTTAACCCATTGGCAGGGGTGCCGCGGAGTTTCCAGATCGGGGAGTGCTCACCCACCCGACCGATCCTTCCACTCACACCGTGGGGCCGCTATCCTCTCCTCCATCTACCCTGTACGCTACCGAACCATCCAGGTGTCACATCTGTCAGTGAACTTTGATCCAACCGACTCGGTCTCGTTCATGCTCGACCACAGTAGTGGCCATTCTGCCCACCAGAGCCGTAGCCGCGACGAGTTTGCCAGGCCAGGCGCGGCGAGAGACCACGGACCCCGATCCGATCGGAGATGGCCGTCTCAGGAGTCTTTCACCGGCTTCTTTCCTATCGGCTTCATTTTATAGTAGGACAAAGAGAGAAAGAGATCGTTCGGCCCAAAGCTTTAGCAAGGTCGTCCACACCGGCGACTACCCAACTGTTCCGCGCGAACCGGTCAAGGTGTTCATGTACGGCCTGGAACAGAGACCAGCTGCCGCACGCGAGGCCTCGCCCAGCGCCGCCGAGTCTCGATCGAAGCTAACATACAAGGCGAATAGAACGAATCGTCGCCGGCCTTAACGATTAATACTTCTCGGTGCCGCGGTTGTTCGTGCGATTAGCAGCAGGCCATGTCCACAGCAGATAGGTGTGTGCTGCTCCGGGCTAGGGCAGAGTAGGAAAGCGGAGAATTTCTCTCTCGACGGCCGAGAAGGAGGCTTAGGAACTGTGTCATAGGTTTAGAGTTTTTAGCTTTAAGTTGCCGCTATCCCCTATACGGCGGCGCGGCGCCCCCACCTAGATGGGGTCGGACAGGCATTCGGGGATGAACGGGGGCCCATAACGGTGGTATCCAATAAGTCTCAAGTTAAGTATCCCGATTAGGTCGTATAGATCCGGCCCTGGTCGAGCGGCGATTCTCACTGGCCAAGTTCGTGCTTAATATGCACGCGCATCTCAAAAGTAATACTACTCTAAGATAATCTCCGGGAGCACGGCCAAAGATACCACCCAATAATTAAGGGCCTCCAAAGCTTAACCTAACACCGCAGTATAACACGCAGACATCGGACCTAAGCTAAAGCCTACCGGTTCGCTAATCTAAAAAAAAAAAACCTATTATATTTAGTTCGATACAGGTCTACGAAGCAACAGTCTTACTATACGGGCCGGAACTCCTTAGTAGATCGATCTAAGTTTAATGGCTAGAACGTTTAGAAGGGCACTTCGGGACACAACCTTTCTTAGTCTAACAACATGACTCGGGCCGTCCGTAAGTCAGCAGCGGCTCGCGTCCTCGCAAAGCTCCGCCCGTATTCGCAAATATACGAACGGCCTTATGCGGCATAAAAAACTTATATAGCGTTAATCTTATCCGTCCGGAGGAACACTTAGCCGTCCGGAGGAACACTCGATCGATACCTTGAAAATCGTTCGGGAAGCCTAGGCCTAGCGAGCCAGGCCTTTTTTCAGGTTAGCAGGCCGGGTTGTTCTCTACCCATAAGACCGAAGCCTCGACGATGGCGACGTCCGGACCATCTTCTTTAGCAATCGACTATAAACATAGACCATGAGAGCCGGGAGAACCAGGGTTCTGTCTAAAGTAGGATTGAAGTAGGCACCTTAGTAAAATAGGGAAGAAGGTGCAGATGGCGGAGTCGACATTCGGCTCTTTCGCATAGACTACCGGCGTTTAGCCGATCGACTACCACAAACCGTTTCCCGCTATAGATATAACGAAACGACCGGACCAAACCGCTGTGGAGGATAATGCTCACGTAAGCATCAACACGCGTGTCTGCGTAGGTGTCATTTGACGTTTTATTATTAGTTTTTGGCGAAGCTGGGTAAGACGCCCCCCCACGACGACGCGTAATGAACGGAGTCTAAGCCTATCTAAGCGAAAGCGCGCCACAGTCTGCTGGACGGGCAAGGATTAAGACAATCGAGGATGCTAGTATATGCCGTCAGGGGCCGGCGTATTAATTATAGCGAGAAGCGTTAAGGTTCACAAAAATCAACGAAATCGGACAGTTAAAAACGACAATAAAACAAAATTTATATCTTAACTTAGGGTTAGGGTTAGGGTTAGGGTTAGGGTTAGGGTTAGGGTTAGGGTTAGGGTTAGGGTTAGGGTTAGGGTTAGGGTTAGGGTTAGGGTTAGGGTTAGGGTTAGGGTTAGGGTTAGGG